CCGAAACGTCAGCAATTGTGTTCTAATAAATTCTATATTAACAACCTCGTGTCTGCTTATTGATGAAAAACATTGAATCGATTAAGATTTCACAAGCGCTGCTGTTCTTCAGTGGCTCATGAGCATAATCGATTAGTGCTGGCCGAGTTGTAGTACTTGTCATGACAAAATCTCGGGTTATATTCTGACCACCAAATTTTGTAATGTTATAGACTATGGACAAGTAACAAAATTAGGGGAATATTTTAAGTAAAGAACTTGCAAGTAAAACGTTCTTTTCGGTGATCTCATCTTCTAAAGACAAGTCATATGATTATTTAGCGCTATTGTGAAAAGATAGAGATGCTATCATAACCGTTCTAGTTACTTGAGTTAAACCAGAGAATGGTTTTTGGAAGTACTGCGGAAAAGTGGTACTTTAATGCATACTTGTATTTGAGTGGTTTCTGTTCCCTAAGGATTCCGCATTCCTCGGTTTTTCTTGATTAAGATGTTTGAACACATGTGCAGCAAGATGAGGGCTTTGACTTACTTTTATAACTAAAAATGAAAACTCTTCCAGATTTTCTTTTATACTCACGTTTCTCAGAAATATGTTACTTCTATAATCGTTGTTTGTGGTGCGTGTAAATCCTTAGTAGTAGTTGAGAAACAGGCGAAACGAAGGACCCGCATGGTGTGGCGGCGAACGCGTTAACCACCGGAAAAGGTAATAGCGCGTTTGTTCCCCACCGGAGACACCCGTGGTCCGGAGTCTCACAAGTATCTCACCATCATTGTAGTTAGATCCTTAGTATTCCAATACTTCGATAGCTGTCAGTACTAAAGTACTTGGTGGTACTGGAATGGAGCTTGTTCTATACATCGAAGTACTTCCTGCAGGTGCTACTAAGTATCTGGTATTCCGGAGGACTTTTTTTTTTCCCAGAACCTTCGCTTCTGCTCTTTAGCCTTCATGACCATTAATTGTTTCCCATAATCATTTTTTCGTCCATTCTGACCGCCCGTTATAATTTGTGGCTTCATCATATGTTTTAACGCTTCTACGCAAACAGATAAGAAAGAAAATCGGCACATTAAGACCGATCGGCTGAAAGTTGACGTCTTCCTTAGGAAAAAATGATGACATGTAGGTATTTGAGTGATTGAGGTGCCGTTGTTCTCTATGTCGGTCTGCTTTTCGAGCGTTTAGAAGAACGGCTATACGTTTTCGTCCACTAACCTTAGCTAAAGCTCAGATTATCCTTGTATACGAACAACCGTGTGCGATGAAGGATCGAACAACAGTTATCGTTTACTCACCACTTCTCAATGAAGAATTTCTGAAGAAGAAAGAAATCGATTCTTTTGTACTTGTTCAGAAGCTGTAGGACGTGCTTGCTTACGTTCCGGATTCTACGCATCCGGTATGCCGGTGCTTCTACGCGCCACAGGCGCCGGTTCGCGCCCTTCAAATGCCCATTCGCACTCGTCTCAGATCTCTCGGCTACTGCAAAAGTCATCTCGTCAGGTGAATACATTACTATTATTACCGTTATTATTGATTAGTATTTACTTAGAAATCAATGATAGTAATGACAATGATTGTGTTGATAGTGATAATGACAGCTGTAATGCCACTAATCTGCTACTTACTCGTGTCAGCCAATCCCAATCGGCACTAGAGGTTGAGAAAAACGTTGAAAGCGTTGAACTGGATGTATCTCTACGTCTGCATTCTGTCCCTCGCTATCGTTCTCCATCTCTCCGTATCCCTTTATTCCCCTGTATCCCTCTCTCTATATCTTCCTGAGTTTGTGTTGAAGTGGTGGAGAGCGTAAAATTTCTTGTGTAATCTTTGTCTATGTGAATGACCTATTTGTTTCAGTGTGTCAGTAATTAAAAATCTCATGAGGGATGAAACAACAGGAAAAAAACTTCTACTGTTCTGATGTTATGTTTTTAGTCTTTTTTTGTTTTAGAAGATGACTTCTACTCACTCATATGTGTGCACGCGCCTATTACTATAGTTTTGTGCGTTTTATAACCCATAGTAAAATTCCCAGTAGGAAAAATTTTGCTGATATGAAACCGTTGAAAAACATATGCGATTGTCATGGTGTTTGAAAGACAACGCCATGTTGTAAACAAAGTTGAGAGTGTTAGAAGATTACTGTAGGTGTTTATTTCTCAGGCGTTCGAGAAATTTCTGACGGTCACTTGTAACATTAGTAACAGCTGGTATACTTTGTGTTGAAATGTAATACACATGTGTTGTGGCTTCGCTTTCTTTACATGTCATCATTTGTTTAGTTCTTCTCCTGTCTTGTTTTCATCTGTTCACCAATTTCCCTCTCTTACTACTCATGCGTTCTCGTTCCTTACCCCAACTAGTTTGCTTTCTTTTGCTTCTTTTCCTGTACACTTTAGCTTTCTTCTTCTTCTTCTTCTTCTTCTTCTTCTTCTTCTTCTTCTTCTCAAAATTCCGCGCTCCTATTTCTCTTTTTCTACTCTTCCTCTCTGTCTCTCTTCCAATTTCATTGATATTTATTTTTTCTTTATGCCTTTGTATTTGTGTTCATTGTTTATTCCAAGCATCTTTTGGTCCACATTTTTGCTCCCCATTTTTCCTATATGACCCGTTATCATGTGTTCTAGCGATCACGCCATTTCTTCCATTCGAATCGTTCCGTGGTATCCATCATCCACGAAGGTCCTTGAACTTTTTTGCTCGTGGCTTCGACTGATGCTTGAGAACGAACTTTCGTTTTTGTCATGAATGACGTTGAGTGCTGATCGAGTTGATTCTCTTTGGAATTCTGTGACAGCCATGCTAGAGATTTTCACATGGATTGGGGACATGCCAGACAAGTCTCCTTGCGGATTCCGAAGTGATGAGGAGGTTACTGGGCCTGATGCGGTATCGAAGCAACCCCATCGGCTAATGAAAAAACACCACTATAGACAGGGGTATCTGCTTCCTTTTCTTTCTTGTAATAGTCGTAACTCGCGTTTTCCTGGTTTCTTTTCTTGTACATATAACCCTAGAATTGAAATGATGCCCACTTGGTTATCCAAATCATTGTGTTCCAATTCAAAACTATGGGGTTTCACTAATCAAATGCTAGTACAATACCGTACCAAGGGCTTGTCGTCTAGTGAATCATGCCAGTGACACGCCTTCATATGCTTCTATCGAAGGCTGAAGTTTCTGTAAAATTTCTGGTCTAGAAACCATAAGAGCGTTGTTTTTCGTATTCACGGTTTTGTGAATAGATCTGTACATTGTTACGATTCACGATGTTTTGGTATTCAGTGAATGCAGGGAATACGCGACACACCCATCATTTGCATCTGTCTATATACATCTATAGGTAGAAAAGCGGTGAGAGAAAGATAAATCAAAGCAGTTAATAAATATAATTATCAACCTCGTGTAAGCTCGTCAAAGAAATAATGCAAATCAAAGGACTCATTGGTGCAGTGCGCAACACGTTAGCCCTTGGAAAGGGTAATCGATCTGGCCTGGAGTCCAACTTTTGCAAATATTTCAGCCTCATAGTGGTTGTATTTCACATCATATCCTGCTATGAAAATTAATAATAGGAATTAAATAAAAAGTTAACATTATCTGTATAGAGTTGTTTGTTCGAATGGTGTGATGTGCCAAGCGATTCTCGTGATGTGGAATGGTGTCTTGTAAGGGGACGTGTCAGATCTTCCTTACCTCGTTAGTTTTCGCTCTGCAGAAGGAATGAGGTGGAACGCCTCACGTGAGGTTTTGTAACAAACCTGGTTTTTCATGCATATGACCGATTTAAATCAATATTTCTGCTGACAGGTACTTGATAAAGACGAGTGAGTTTCCAGAAAACCGGAGGCGGTAGTATTTGAACTCAATCAGATTTTCAGGCGATATATGTGGGGCTTCTTCAGTGTGGTTTCACTCGTTTAAACGTCTGCCATTACTTTAATAAAAACTCTTTGGTTAATTTTGGGATTTTTTGAGAAGGGAAACCAAGCACACCATCCACTTGGGTTCAGGAAATTGGTACCATTTACTACTTGGTGTTGAAAGTTGATGACAGACTTATCTGGCAAAGTAAAAACATGGACATTATACATCGGTAATCACATAAAAGTCATTGTATGAGCCAAATATGTACTCAATCACCTCTAAGATGTTACGTATGGAGTCGCATGCATCAGGTATCCCTAAGATATTGGTGGGCGCTAAGAGGTTTATTTTTGAAGCGATCAGCAACTTCTTGAATATCGAAATCCTCAGTAACTTCTGTCGTCTCAGTTGATTGTTAAAGGTTCTACATACTGAGAGAGGTTAGTATGTGTGAAATATAGGGTTCAGTAACTTGTCGATAAATCTCGTGAGGGCTTAGTGACTGTTGTTGAACGATTTTCAAAAAAAGGCTCTCTACTAGTGGAGTGGGTAATACGTGAACACCCGGAAAGGGCAATCGCGGGTTCGAAGGGCACCTGAGGTTCCAAATTTTGCTCATACCTCAGCATCCTTATGGTTCATTTTCAAATAGTTCCCTGTGTTAGTAGCTATTTCTTTTTATTTAACGTAGTTCTTTGTGTGAAACGATTTAACAGCTACGTACCAAAAGTGGGTGACAAAATTTCGTTTACGTCTTAATTTTACCACTCACTAGATGCTAACACTGTTTTCTGATTAACTTTATTTTATTGGCATAATACGCCGTATGCTTTTTTTAACCTACGAGGACATGAGGTGTCGAGGTCATGGAAGGAGGAATACTAGAAAGCTATCACTATATTTTAAAGCTTGGTAGTCTTGGTAAGAGATTTTATTGGAGAAAGCTAGAAGGAAAGCCAAAATGGATTTCTTTGTTCGTTTGGAGACCAGTCGGTGCGGAGTCGAGGAGGTTAAGGAACAATTTCTTTTCAGGTCGGATATCATTTGACGTATTTTCTGAAGAATGTTGGATTTGTTAAATAAACATCAGATTTTTCTTCAGTGATTTGTTATCCTGTGATCACGTGGTCCGAGCAAACCGAACCATCTGCCACTTTGGCTTCAGTTTGTGGTGCTTTACCGATGTATCAACTCAGTGTTTTTATTCTCCCATACAAACCTGAGACCAATTTGCTGACGTCGAAGTGGTGAAAGGCTTAGTGATTTTCTGGCGTGGGGTTGAACCAGCGATTGACGATTCAGTGTGTACTGCAGGGCATCTCTAATCAATGCGCTACACGCGCATCTCAAGAATGGATGAAAGTATTGCAAACTGGTTAGGTCTTTGGCGACACGTTTCTTGCAGTTTTTTTTTCTTTTGCATCTTCCTATGGGAATGACGTCACCTAGAAGTTGGAATAATATCGACGGGCTCAAGGCAAACTCTTGGATAGAAGAATAGGAAGACAGACCGTCGTTCGATTCACACTGGCCCAGTGATGATAATCCTTCCAGGTGTTTTCGTTTCCCTCACCAAATCTTGGAACTGAGGCCGTTAAGCACAGTTTTGTTGTCAAGACTTTCGTCTTAGGGCATGAAATGGTCAATGTATGTGATGGCTGGTTTCTGTTCAACCGAAGATCTCTGATCGGGTCCGTTAAGACTTCGAACCAATCTACAACATCATGTGCTCATAAGTGGTGTGGAAAGAGTCTAACAGTTTTGCCTCTTATTTGTAATTATAATAGATGAAACTAAATTATTCCGATGCTTATGAACTTCTCCACTTATGTTATTTTCTTCCTACGTTAATGCTCTAATATTTGTAATATCCGGTGACTCTAATCTATTTCTACCTTCAAAACCTGCGAAAGAATTTTGCTAGTTATCTGTGCGAAATGAAAAAATACGTTAAAATAAGACATCGGAACGAAGGACCCGCATGGTGTGGTGGTGAACGCGTTAGCCCCCGGAATGGGTAATAAGGCGTTCGTTCTCCACTGCAGACACCTGCGGTCCGGAGTTTTGCAAATATCTCAGCATCGTTGTGGTTGTATTTCGCATTATATCTTGCCGTGAAGAACAATAGTAGGTAGCAAATAAAAGGTTAGCGTTACGTTGAAATAGTCGATCACAGATGATGAGTTACTATAGGTAAGGGAATCTTTTCTCTTCAGATTTTCAGATTTCGCTTATGCCAATTTTTAGGAAAAGGGATCGCATCGAAGTACAACACGAAGAACATCGCATGCATCAAGCGGACAAACGGGTGATTCAGTATTGAATGTAAGTCTTTATAACGAACATAACAGCGAAACACTAGGAAACTAGGAACGTGGAGCGTGATTTTCTCTCGAATCCTGGAATCCACGTTTTCAGTCTTCGCCATAGGCAGTTGTCGGCGTTTGTGGATTGGCGGGTGGTTGGCCACGTTGCGGCTCCCTTGCTACCACGATGTCGCTGATACCTGACGTTGCTTTGTTCTTAGCTAGGTTTCGAGTTTCCGGGTGGAAGTACCAATTTCTTTCTCGGCTTGGGGACCCTACAGGAAAGTATGAACCTCGACTGCGTACGCGGTTCCGCAATCAGGACACCTGTAGTCAACAGGACACGAAAGAGTATCAAGAATATATATATATATATATACATGTATATATATGTATGTATGAGGGCGCGTGTGGCGCAGTGGTCGGCAGAGTCCTGCAACATACCCGTGGAATCGGTCCCAGTGCCCATGGCCCACCAAGCCTTCCATCCCTCCGGGCTCGGCAGACTGGTACCAGACTTGTTTGGGAGGATAGCAGCACTGGCTCGATACATCGGTAGGCCACTGCGAGTCATTCTAAAGGTTAGGTAGGTATGCATTCAATCACCTCTAACGATGCTACGAATGGAGTCGAGTACAGGCCTATCCCTCAGGGATTGATCGACGCCGAGAGCTTTTATCCTTTGGATACATATACATATACATATACATACATATATATGCAGTTTTTTATTTTACATGACTCGACATTACATATACGGTGCCGATCCCATGACTTCTTACATTCGATTCGTTTTTCCTCGGATTCATCATCCACAGTTCTCTGCGAACATTTCGCCCGTCGTGTCGGCCGCTGCTTGAGGATTTCGTCTTCTTAACGAATGTTCTATAATGTTGGTCAAGTCGATTTCCTTTGCTATGTTGGAGATAGACGAGTCATGTGTTTCCGCATTGCTTGAGGGAAGCGTTAGGGACGGGGTCGAAGCAGAATCTTGCTTCCTGATGAACTGTGTAACTAGTCACTATGCCATGCGAATAATCATAGAATTCATGATTTTATTCTTCTTTACCCAGTCCCCTCTTGGCAAACGAGTTGTTTCTGTTCATGCTCGTTGCTCCTCATAAACGCAGTCGCCATTGAGGTCATCCAACAATTCGTGCTTACCATGGCTATCCTTCCTTTTCCGACAGCTGTGCTTCCGGTTATAGGCTCCTCATTCGTGCCGTTATGAATTCTGATGAACTTTCTCCCTGAATTTGATGCTGTGTTTTCTTTATCGGCTACGCTGTAGTGCTTTCATAATTATTACTTCCATTTCAGTCTGGCGTTAATCAAACGGTCTCTGTATCCCGTCAACAGTCGCAGCTGCCATTAACATGTATTGGAAAACTTCGAGATTTGTACAGACGTTACCATATAAAACACTTATTTCCATTGATGTTTATTATGTTATACATGGTACTCGGTTCTGTTTTATTCTATTTACTTGAATTTTCAACGGATCAGGCCAGTAAGGATCAACAGTATGGAGTTTATATGTGAGTAATGCCTTTTCTTTCCTTTATTATCTTTTGAAATGTTTATGAGACACGTTTATTAACACATTCGTGGCGATACAAGTTGTATATGATTATCACGGGTGGGTTGGACAACGGACCGCATGAATCACATACGATTCATAGGGGGAGCGTCGAATGATTTGGCATTGCCGAGTGAACCGGCAGCATAACATTTGGCACTGTCACGAATGTGTTAATCAACATACCTTCGTTTACTTGTTCTAAATTATCCAATTATTTATATCTGTCGATAATTATGATTGGTGTTGAGTCGTGAACGTGAGCTTCTTCGACGTCGCATGGATGAGATTTTTCTTGATCAGGCAGCGAAGCGACGAGAAGTTCGATTTCGTTTTATCGACGACGCTGTTGACTATTTCGAGAAGCAAATAGGATTTTCGGTACGTTCATCTAGTGACCTCCTTTCCTTGGTCCCTGCTTCACTGATTTGCTGTGGAGGGGTACTTGTGGGTTGATCAACTTTAACACACTAGGACACTAGGACATTCATTCTCCTGAAATTCACTCAAGTTGAAGGCCATTTCGACTTTTTCACCCGGAGACTCATCTGTAAGTGAACTAGTTTTGGAAAACTACGTCATCTTGGAAACTTATTCGTGAGAATGCAGTTCGTTCTTTGATACGTAAACACCGGGGACTGCTGAGGGGCTGTGGCATGCTTTCTTTGGACTACAAAAGGAAGAAAATCTTATCTAACCTAAAATACCGTTCAAAGAAAAAATCTACGTTGATCCACACCATTCCTTTTGAGTGTGGGTCGTCTATGTGTTCAAGTTGTCAGTACTCAGCAGCAATATTTTTCGCACCTTATGCTCAGGTTTTTATTTAGCACGTCTATTTACTTTTGCTACTCTGATGTTAACCCACCTACTTCTTAGTCTTCAATTTTGGTTTTCAATTTCAGTTTTTCAGTTATTTTTTTAATTTTCGATTTTAATTTTTTTACAAGTTTTCCTATGAGGAGTAAAAAAAGGACAAAGCTCTCGGCGTTGATCAATCTTTGAGGAATGCACCATGCATTCAACTTCATTAAGCATCGCTGGAGGTGACTGAATGCATATCTGGCCTTTACAATGACTCACGGTGGCCTACCGATGCATCGAGCCAGTGCTGCTATCCTCCCAGATAAGTTTGGTACCAATTTGCCGACCCTAGAGGGATCGAAGACCTGGTGGGCCATGGGCGCGGGAATCGATTCCACGTGTGAGTTGTAGGGCGCCTCCGACCACTGCACCACGCGCTCGCGGCGAAGCATGAAATGCTGTATTCTTGATGAGCGAACACGAGTTTATTGTTTCAGTAGTTATTTATTCATAATAGCTGACATTTCGGCGGTTTCGCCTTCTTCATAGGTTAGAAAAGTCAAATTGACCCGCGATCCACTCATTCATACACTTCGATATCCTCAACAGCCAAAACTTAGTACATAAATTTTCATTCGCATAATAAACAGCTTCTTTTAAGCGCTCACTGTTTTTCCACGACCGGCTTTCTATCAGCCTCGGCATTGATCAAATAATTCTTTATATTCTTGTTCAGCAAACACGAGGTGTTATTTTATTCTTTATTACGATGAAACTGACGCTAGGGCTGGCTAGGTGGATCGCGGTCAACTTGATCCTTCCAGACTCTGAGGAAGGCCAAATTTGCTGGAACGTCAGTTTCATCGTAATAAAGAATAAAATTTCTCACAGTTTTATTCTTTATGGATCTTTCAGTAATTTGGTGGAAACTAGCCGCACAGAGAGTCACATGAGTGAGAATTGTGCCTAGCTCAGGTCAAAAAATCCACCTGAGATATGACTTGAGGTCAACAAAACACTCCTCGTTGCTGTTCACTTTTGGATTTTTGGAATTTATCCAGAATTCTTTTGCTTTTCAGAGATGAGTTTTGTTCGCTGAAGTTTTCGATTCCTGTGCGAGAATGGTAACCTCAACTTCCAAATCTTCGTCGTTATGTCTCTGTGTCCTATCCGCGGTTATTGGAGTATTTGGTTCAAGTTCATCTGCTAGGTGTTCTTTCATACGAACGTGCAGTTTTCTACTCGTTTCGCCAATGTATTCGTGCTTGCACGCTTCACAAGTGATCAGATAAACCATACACAACCTGATGCAATCGCTATGTCCATCTTTAGGGCAAATTATTCAATTTTGCGTTGTACATAGATGATTATACAGGTGGCTACGAACTTGCTGGTGTCTTAGAGTGCTCGGTGGTATTCCAATCACTGTTGCCAAATTCTCTATATTGGCCTTCTTAAGCAACGTTATATAGCCGCACTTAATTCGTTGAAAATAAAGGGCAGGATAAACAGGACCTTATTTTCACTGGAGTTATCGTTTTGGGGCGTGGTTTTCCCTCTAAACCTAACCTATAGCGTTCCCAGAAAAGTTAAAGGTTATGGGGTGAGGGGCAGGATTCCCGAACAGCGCGCGCTAACAATTAGAATTGGGTACAAGTTCCTCACCAGTGCAACTCACTTCTAAAGGAACATTGCGTAGCGTAGAATCTCATGCAGTCTACACGAGCTTCATGATCGACTCCGTAACAAAACTAGAATTAAAGCAATAAATAGAAATGAACGACGAAGAGTAGGGGCATTACTACCACCTCCTCTTCCTCGAGCTTTCTGTATCAAAAGCCCAACGGTGAGTAGATGTTAAGTTTCCGATGTTTTCGGACGAAACTTGAACTCCTAAACCATTATTGCGGGAAAAATTCAGTTCTAATTTCACATCAACGCAAAATTGTGGCAAACTAGAGGTTCCAAAGGTGATAAGATCAAAGAGTATTAGATTGCCTGTTAATGGAAAAGATGCAGAATTTGTAGTAATTCCTCATCGTTTAGATGTCGAGTCAACGAACAAGCGTCTTGAAGATGCTTCCGTTTGTTGGCCATTATCTGAAAAGGAATTCAAAAGTCAACACCGAAAATTGCACAACGAACGGGTTAAAGTTGCAAAAGCGGCTGGTTTAAAACCATGAGTTATTTCTCAACTTAAAATTGATTTATCCTTAGTCCGGTCTTATACTTACTTATCGCAACTCGTCAGCTGGTATTCTCTGGTAATCTGGCGTCTACCGACCTCTCAACCTTCAAGGTTAGACCCATCATCAGTTCTGTAGACGGGCCCACTGATAAAATAGCTTGATTTATAAACTGATTTCTCATCCAATTGCTTAATCACATACCAGCCTATCTCACGAATACCCGAATGTTCCTGGATCGTCTGCATAACGTGCGTCCTAACAGCGCGTATGTGACTTTGCAATGTAACCTATCCTCGAACTCCTTGTGCAACGCGGAGGAGCAATAAACATGGATGGCTTATCGACTCTGCAACTGATGGCCCCCTAAAGAAGTGCCTAAACTGGTGTCTTTAGATGGTCCGGCAAATATTGCGTATAAATGAGAATGTTTGCAATGGAATAGCGAAGCGCACCAAGTTTTGCTCTCGTGTCTAATGTGGAAGCACCGACAATCTATCTGCGATCAATATTCTACCGTGGAAATATAGATGATTGTTTTGTCACCTGCCCCGCACAAGAGGAGATGGATCAATGTTATTTTTTTTAAGTTAAGATCAATTTTAAGTTATTGAACGAACAGACAAAGTGCACTAGGTGTACTCGAGAGAAACCAAAGGGAAACTGGCCTCCATTTTTGAATGTTCAGATTGACCTATCCAAATAAGGTACACCACGAAATGGTACCGAAAGCCATGTAGTAAACCAGTACTGGTTTTCGTCCTGTCCTCTAATCGCTGTCAGAGAAAGAGGATAAGAAGGAATCTCCCAATTTTTCTTGGCAGACAACCATTTCGAATGATTACGAAACAGTAGCTGCTCGAAATAACACACACCACGGGGCACGTATTGAACACAGAAGCAGAACCGAGGAGATTTCGCAGCAAAATGCGCTATCCTCGTGGAGCATTATAAAATATCACCACGTGGAGCTCTTGAGGCATTTTAGATAAATTCAAAAAGTCCGAAAATGAACCGCGAAGAGGAGTGTCTTGTGATAACGCGCGACTTTGTGCCATTCCTTAGACTGGTTTTTTGACCTGGATTAAGCACATTCCTCCCCATATGAGACTGTGCGGCCGGTATCCAACAGTAACTGGAGGGCTTATAAACAACAAGACGGTGGCTGCCTAAGAGAAGCTGTTTGCTATGCGAATGGAAATCCATGTAAAAAAAAGGATAAAGGATAAAGCTCTTGGCGTTGGTCAATCTCTGAGAGATGCGCCATGCATTCGACTTCGTTAAGTATCGTTGGAAGTGATTTAATGTATATCTGGCCTTTACAATGACTCACGGTGGCCTACCGATGTAACGAGCCAGTGCTTTTATCCTCCCATACAAATCTGGTACCAACTTGCCGACCCTGGAGGGATGGAGGGCTTGGTGGGCCAAGAGTGCGGGGATCGATTCCACGTGTGTGTCGCGGTGGCACCTCCAACCACTGCGTCACACGCGCCCCTGAAAATTCATGTATTAAGCTTTCTCTGTTAAGGTTATGAGAGTATATGACTAGGTGGATTGTGAGTCATTTTGATTTTTCCACCCTCTTAAGAGGTGAAATCGCCGAAGCGTCGGTTATTGTGAATAAATGTGTGAGAAATCCGTGTTTTTTCATTAACAAAACAATTATTGATTATTTTCGATGTTAAAATAATATCGGCTCTGGAAGGCATAAAAAGGTTCGGCATTGATCAATCCCTTAGAGATGCTCCATCAAAAGAATTGTGAAGATGGTTGAATATACACTTAACCTAAACGATGAGATATAGAGACCTGTCGATGTGCCATCTCGGTATGTTAACATCCTAGACAAGTTTTATACAAGTTTCCCGATTCTGAAGGAATGGAGAGTTTAGTTTGTCTGGGACGCGAGGTCGAGCCACGACTCCGTTTGCGTTGTGTAACATCTTTAGTTATTTCGCAACACGTTTCCCTCCAGAACCTCTTTTCTGGAATGGAAAACTTCTTAACAGTCCAATGAAGTTTTGCAACTTTTAAAGCAATAAAAAACTGAAAAACTGTTTTAAACGATTCCATCTATATACATTTAAATATTAGAACGAACATAGCGTATAGATAGTATAACTTATTGGTCTATGTTTATTGTAATTGGAGTTCTCTGATCGGTTTATGGAGCTTTTACGTGCAAGAAATATTGGATTTTTAATGTAATAATAATAATAATAAATTTCGAGTCAGGCGAAACGAAAGACCCTCATGGTGTGGTGGTGAACGCGTTACAACCCAGAAAGGACAATAGCGCGTTCGTTCCTCACCGCTGGCACATGCGGTCCGCAGTTTTGCAAATATCTCAGCATGATTGAAATTGATTTTTATATAGTAATTCCTATAGAACAAACTTCTTTTTTAGATAAGTAATGAATCTCAGTGGAGCCTTATGTCGGCTATGTATTATTCCGGCACCTTGTTCACAACAATTGGTACGTACAACTTTTTTATACAGTTGTAGATGACTGCTTCTACGAAGCAGAATTTTTTATGTTACACAGCCCATATTCACATTCGCGGTGCAAATCCCAGCACTTCTCGCTTCCTTGCATCCATCATCCATGAAGGTTGTCGTCGGACTTTCATCGCATAGGTGGCTTCGGCTGCTACTTGATAATTGTCGTCTAATTCCATGTTTATCACTGAATTCTGGTTGAGTCAGTTCTCCTTGGAGCCCCGGGATTACACCGGGCAAGAGCGCTCACAACTGAATTGCAGAGAGTGAACTGTTTCCAGACAAGTCGTACCAGTTTGGTACCGATTTCTCAACTCCCGAAAGATGAGAAGCTTGGTGGTGCTGGAACATGGTGAGGACCATCACCACTGCGTAACTCGCTTCCTTAAAGTGAAACGGCAGTCTATTTTGTTGTTTTCTGTCTTTCCTCCACTTTCCTTTTCTAAATTTTGCCTTACTGAGATGAACTTCGCGTATATTACTAACGCAGCCACGATCAAGTGATCTGGTAAACTAAACTCATAAAACGCATAAATCGTTTGGCGTTATTTGCACTATAACGTAACCAAACGCATTTCCGGCCTATACAACTTGTGAGGACTTTTGACGGCGTACCGATGTTTTAAGTCACTGTCCATGTCTTCCCAGACTGGTTTTTCACGCGAATTTGCTGAGACTCGACGTATGCACAGCTTAGTTATGCCGCTGCGAAAGATCATACCTATAACATGTCTATTGCAAAACACTTCTAAACCATCTTTCGTTTTTTCCTTGTAGCTTTCCTTCTCTGACAAAACTTTGGGATGATGGGATGAGCGAAGCGCTGTGGCTATAGATGTCGTCCAATACGCTCCATTCGTTCGCTTACCCTTTGGGCTAAGCATGTCTACGGGTTCGCCAAAGCGGCGCGACAGTTATACGGGAAAAACCCGCGGTCAACAAAGGAAGGCGAATACTTGTGTGTCTGTAACCGTTCTATTAGAGCTATAGCAGGTTCTAACTTCACCAAAATTCAATTAACGTCATTAAGAAGTCAGAGTACTCAAGTGTTGGAAGGATAAAGGATAAAGCTCTCGGCGTTGATCAATCCCTGAGGGACGCGCCATGCAGTCGACTTCATTAAGTATTGTTGGAGGCGATTGAATGCATATCTGGCCCTTACAATGACTCGCGATGGCTCACCTATATATCGAGCCAGTGCTGCTATCCTTCCAGACAAGTCTGGCACCAATTTGCCGACCGCGGAGGGATGGAAGGGTTGGTGTGCCGTGGGCGCGAGTATCGAATCGATTCCACGTGTGTGGCGCAGTGGCGCCTCAAACCACTGCGCCACACGTACCCTTTTAAAAAAATTCAACTCATTCGAAAAAAAACATTCAAATGTTAGCCAGACTTAAGCGCAAGCCCGATGTTGTCCTTGGATAACGGATGCACCACACTAAGAGAAATAAAGGAACTACTGGGATTCACACAATATGTGAAGTACAGTTATGTTAAAAGATAATGAAACTTGCTTTGTGACGGTTGTCTTTATTACGATGGTTTTGCTCTTTGCGTAGGCGGAGGCATTTTATAGCTCGCCGTAGTATCATCGTTTTTATCACGACCGCTTCAATTCCTGTTGAGCCTCAGTCGGAGTGTTGACATAACATTCTTTTAAGTGCCCATCATTGCTAGTCGTAAATTCTTCATCGTATGCAATTGTCGATTTGAATAACATCACGCGGAAAGGTTTTATTTTACACTCAACATCGGGGATCTCAGAAAACGACAATATCTATGTCTCGAACGCTCACGCTTTCAGCAGTCAATACCTCACTGTGATTGATTGTTATATGGGTGATAAATCTCCATTCGATCCACAAGGACCTGGAACTTCTTGTAGTGACGGTTCTTTAAAGCCATTATGTGGCTTTCTCCAAATTCTAAGAAAGGAATCCATTGTCCGAGCAGAAAGTTATCGGTTAAATGTATATTCTTCTGGGACATGTAAGCCTTCATTACGAAAATGGACAGTTTGAGGAATTCATTGAAGTCAATCAAGTATATCCTGAATCGTGCAAGAAGTAAAAAAATAGAGGGAGAAGTGGTTCGACGTGGGGCAATGTGTCGGGATTATAACATGAATTCGACACCGTTCGGACCGTACAGATGATTTGATGTGCATACAAGTACAAAATAACTTGATGAGGTTTACAGAGGTAATAATTTTTGTCCTTAGAAGACAAGTCTGGTAGCAATTTACTGAGCCAGAAAGAATGCGGGTGTGATTTAGCTCACGGCGCAGAATCATGCCAATGGCCACGTGTGCCTTATCTAAGGTCATGCTTAACCACGGCTCCTCACACCCTCGCTAAGAAAAAGGAGCCCATTGCAGTAGCGATCCGGCTTAAGGTAGCTGCAAAGCTCAGTTATCCAAGAACCACCACAAGAATCGTGAGGTTGAACAAAAACTTGGAACCTCAGTTGGGCCTGGAACCCGTGTTTATCGGGAGGCTCACGTTCTATCCCCCACAGTAACCAAGAGCCTTGATTTGCCTTTCTCTTGGTCATTTTCTTGCTCTATCAATGTTATCGTCAATAATCCGTCAAGGAGATTGATCTGTGAGGCACAATCCGGCATTGAACCTGGTCCAGCCGAAACTGCAGTGTAAATCACAATTCTTAACTTTTGTCTGCTGCGTTTTTTTAGCTAGGTTCACTAGCGAATTGTACACTCTAGATCAATCTCATTGATGAATGATTGCTGATAGCACTGATAGAGTAAATAAAACCGAAAAGAAAAGAAAAGGCGAAGCAAAGGTGGTGGGTGAGGTGGATGGCACATGAGTCCCATGTAGCGATAATCACGGATTTCAAGCTTACTTGAGGCTCCAAGATTTGCTCATATGTCGGCATCATTGTGGTTGTTCTCCATATCTTACTAAGCCATTAGAAAAGTAGTAATTTAAGACATTGTGATATTTAAGAAAATTTCTTTTTATTGGAACTTTTTCCTTTCCTAAGGGGGTTTTAAGTGGCTACTCGATAAATGAAGGAGATGAGCTAAAAGCCAAAGTTTTGAAAGTATTTTACGTAACTTTTCTCTACACAAAATAATACCCAGGAAGAATTTTACAGTGCGAGTACCAGTTTCGTAATTTATATTTATATAGTGATACTAGCAATTTTTTTTACATGACCCGACATCACACATTGGTCGGATCCCGCTAGTTCATTGGATGCGTTTTTACGCATCTGTTATCCAGAGACGTTTTGGGATTTTACACGTGGCTTCGATAACTTGATAACTTTCGTCCTCGTTATGAATGTCACGGAGTGATGGTTGACTTGATTCTTTCTGGAGTCTTAGGATAATTGTGCTTGGGCGGTTGCAGGCTTTCACCACATTCAGTTGAGGGTTTTTATAGATCGGAGACAGCTTCTCTCAGATAAGTCTAATAGTACTTTGTCGACTCTGGAGGCCTGGTAGGCTTTGAGACCAGGATGATAGCTCCTGCAAAGACTAGTGATAGGAGCAATGATAGTGTTAAATGCATTCGACAGGCAGTTTGTGTAAGGGTTTCAATTTTGCAAGAAACGGTTCATATCTTGGAAATTACGGTTGAAAAATTTTCCTTCTGCGCAAAAACGTGAGCAGTACGTAACACTAAAGGAAGAAAAAGGTTTAGATGATTTTCTTCTATTAGAATGAAATAAAAAAGAAGGAATTCATCTCAGGTTTTCACTAGATACCAAATTTCTTCAAATGATAATGCCCACAGAGCTGTCATCTAGGTGGGAGCTAATTTTCCTCCACATTAAGACATTTTTACGTCATCGTTTAGCCCTCATTCACTGAACCGTTCCATGTCAAAGCATCCGTAAAAGCTTCTCTCTCTGTCACTAAGGTATTCGCTAACTGTTAGATATGCACCGTACCGTTGCTTTCTACTGTAGAGAACATTTTGATTTCTTCTATTCGAGAAAAACTTCTTATAGTAGCCCGGAATATGAAGCTATTCTTAAAAATGAAGAACGTGACAAATTTTCCCAACTGTTTTTAAGAAATGAAAGGGAATTATTACACATTAAATTTAATGAAGTCATGTTGCTGCTATGCACCACTTCTTTGTTCAAAATTTTCTTCAGGTCCATTTAAATAAAGTTCCTAAGAGGACCAAATTAAAGATGTAAAATAGATCTGAGGCGAAACTACAACGCGTTAGCCCCGGACAGGATAATAGCGCGTTCCTACCCCACCGCAGACACCCGCGGTCCGGAGTTTTGCAAATATCTCAGCATCATGGTGGTTGTAGAGCGAGATTCTTTGTTTTTCGATGAAAACCACAGTACCGTAGGATAACCGTATTGTTCGTGTATTATGGTTGGCGCCAAAATCGTCAAGAACTATGAAGCCATCATAAACTCAGATTTTTATCCAGGTTTACTGTCATTTACATTTTTGCTTAACACTTCATTCAGGCTACGGTGATATTGCGTGCGTTACGGTAGCTGGTCGTATTATGACAGTAATCTATTCATGTGTGGGTATTCCGCTAATGCTCATCACGTTAAACGATTGTGGTAAATTTCTTTACAACAACATCAATGGAGTGGTAAAAGTGAGTGGTTATCCTGTTTTCAGTTCCTTAATCTTTTGTATGTCCCATCTTCACATGTGTTATGCCGTCCCCACCACTTCTTGCATTCAATTCGTTTCTTCGCATCCATCATCCATGAAGGCCTTCGAACTTTTCGCGTGTGGGTTCGCTTAATGCTTGAGGATTTTTCCTTTTTTCATGAATGTCGGTCCATGCTGGTCGAGACCATTCTCCCAGTAATCCTGGGAACGTGGAGCTAAGGCGGGCGGCGCGTCGAGGTGAAATGGACGACGTGAGCTGATCCCGGACAAGTCAGCCACCAATTTATCGTCTCCATGAGATGTGAAGAGTGGTGGGCCTGATGAGGGGTCAAACCAGCGCGTTTCTAGCAACGCACAACATCAGTAAAACTACGTTATCAGCCACCTTATTTTTTCCATCTTGTCTGAAGCTTCCATAATAATTTTAAGACTCTCATGACAAGCTGGTTGTAGGCGGGTCCCGCGCTTCTCGCTTGCTGTTGTTGTCACCAGCAAGGCCGCGCCCATTTTGATTTCGTATGTATAGTTGGGCATTGAAGTGGAATTAAATTTACCATAACCGTAATCGAGCTCACGCCTGCAGTCCGTCCAAGATTGACGGCTGGACGGTGATTTTCCAGAAACATAAAAGTCTTAATGATTTACACTTTATTGATACTATATATAGATATCATTCTTTAGAATGTCGAAAATTTTCGCACCTATTTGGGTGTGTTACGCATTGGCTCTAAACGTGAACCGAAATCCGACGAGGTAGGGACGACCTTTCTCAATACTTTTTCAATTTTATTATCAGAATATGTTCTTGTCAGGTTTTTTTTAAACAAAGCTTGCTATGGGGAATAGATAGTGAATTACCCATGTTTTTGTGGTTAAGTTTGTGATTATAACAGTAAAGGATAACAAGAATTACAATTCAGCATACAATTATTCCACAGGACAAATGTCTTGGAAGTTGAAAGTAAAATTAGAAAGGGAAAGAGTAGAAAGAAAGAAGGAGAAACAGTTAAAATACTTTCAAAAGTTTGTTTTCTACAGCTTTCAACTCAGCAAGTTCAATATATCATTTTGCTAGCTTCATCCTTATTTTTAGTTCTTTTGACTAATACTAGTTAGTTTAGACTAAATTTGGACCGGTTTAGGTTAAACTCCAGATCAGTACCATTGACAGGTGATTGCTGATGGCACTGTTAGGGTACAAAAACTGTTTGAGCGAAAGGCAAAACAAGGTCTTAATGGTGCAGTGGGTAACACGTGAGCCCTCAGAAATGGTAATCATAGGTTCGAATCTGGCCTGGGATTGGAGTTTTTCAAAAAAAGTATCTCAACATCATCGTGGTTATCAGTTCGTTTTGAAGAATTGCAAGATTAAAGGTTATGAATTAAGGATTAGAACGGTCGAAGAATAGGAGGTCACGTAACACATTTCAAAAGTAGTAATTGACTATTTTATAGAAGTAATATTCTTTCAAAGCTTGACACTCACAAACGTGCCAAAAGATCGCATTCAGTTTAAAGTCACTCAGAAAAAAATGGTTGTTGGTTGTTTAGGTGGACGCGGTCGAGAGGGGTGAGGTGCATCCGAGCGTCGAGTTGTCGTCGTTGGCGTCAGAAGCGGGCAGTCTGCCATCTCTCAGTGACGTCGACGAAGTGGAAGAAAAGCGAACGCCAAGAATGAGCGTCAAGGTAAGCGAGGTCATGATCTTTGTATTCATTTCTTGGACATGATTCCGACGATGAAACCGATGAATGTTAGGTAGCGCTTTGCATAACCATTGGATGGATTTTTTTCTGTTCTGGTCTATTTCGACTATGGGAAGATTGGACATATGCGGAGAGCTGCTATTTTATGTATATCAGTCTATCTACAATCGGTTTGGGTGATATATCTGTACAAAGGAGAGAGTGAGTTGAATTTAACTCTGTATTTATCCCTAATTTTTCACGTGAATGCGTTCAGCTTGCTCTTACCATAACAGTTTCAGAAGTTAATTGTCCATGTTCAAGTTGCTAAATTGTTCTCCCTGTTGACTTTCTCTAGATGAACCCGCATATTTTAGCGCATTCTCGACTTTATGATTTGATTTCAATGCATACATACCCAAAGTCACGACAACTGGGTAATTCAGCCTTAGCAAATTCGTAAGAGAGTTAGTTCTTCGACAAGAAACGATAGTCAATTTTTCACTAATTGAATAATAGACTGGTAGAATACATTGCAAATTTATATAGCAGATATTGCTATAGTATCTGTGCAACTTCTATGAAGCATTAAGTAGTCTCTTGGATTGTTGAGCTGACCGGAGGTTGTTATAAAAATATTTATTTGGCTAAGGTTTTGACGCCTTCATCTTTTTCAGAGCTAAATTAATCCTACTTCAGATGTATTTTATGAAATATTTCTTCGACTTTAAGTATAATTAGGATAACAATCGTCAAAAAAAGCAGGGAGAGAAATTCAGACTTTTGAAAAATTTTCAACATGGGCGCGGAAGTCACAGAATCCAACGATACGCTTGGGAACATCATCATGTTCTACCGGACGAAATCCTGGTTCTTCACTTACTTCCATGTTCAAAAAACGAGCTCCAAAAGAGAAAAGGTGGAAAAAAATGCGTCCCATTGGTTTGGGAAAATCAGAATTTCACCATGGTAAAATAGGAGGATTTCTATCTTGTCGACAAAGATTCATAGATTGTAATGGTTTTTGGTATAAGTAATGATGTTTAAAAATCGCGCATGTCGTGCAGTGATCGGAGGCACCCTGCAACACACACGTGGAATCGATCTCCGCGCCCTTGGCTAACCAAGCCTTCCATCCCTCCCGGTCGGCAAATTGGTTCCAGACTTGTCTGAGAGGATAGCAGCACTGGCTCGATACATCGGTAGGCCACCGTGAGTCATTGTAAAGGCCAGATATGCATTCAATCACCTTCAAACGATGCTTGATGGGTGCATCTCTCAGGGATCAGCGCCGAAAGTTTTATGCTTTTATTTTAATGATGTTTAATATGAGTTGAGACAAGTTGGTTGAGTTATGTTGGCCATTATTTTAGCACTGTACACTTCAAAAATTTGAGTTTCACACAAGTTCAAAACTAAAGAACATATTAGAAAAAATCCTAGGTCTATGTACCTCTATAGCGATAGAGCTTTACCAGAAGTATGTCAAGTTTTCAATTCCTCAATTGCTGTAGTTATTGAAAAATTGTCGACAGTTGCCGAAAGACTGCGAATAAAATAACCAGGTATTCCTGGTGTCCTGAGTGTCCCAGAACTATCATTCATATTAGGAGTATCTTTTCTTCTGTTTTTATAACATTTTTGTTACAGTATGATGGTTATGTGTTTTGTTTTCGTGATAATTGGACTTTCGCTGGTCAGTATGAGTATAAATGTTGTACAGGTAAGCAATAAGGTGCCGGGTAAGGTTATAACTAGTTCTAAATTAACATTTTCAACTATATAACTGTTTTTCTGAAAATTTTGCGGAATTTACAAAAAAAAGAACGAGAAGGGAAGTAGTACTTTAGGTTGCCCTGGAAGATTTCTATGTGAAGCTTATGATGAAGCTTATCATCGAGTATCAGGAGAAGATGGCGGCAGGTTGGTAACATACATTTTACAGAGATGGAAAGAAAGCTCTCTATTTACCCTGAATGAAATAACTAGTTTTAGTTTGCTTTATATAGAGTTCTGCTGGGAAAGAGTTCCTACCAGTTGTTTATAAAGTTTGGTTGAATCATCACACTGTAAAGTTTTTATTTATTTGTATGGATGACGAGTCTATACATATTATTTAGATTCTAGCATTGCTTTCATTCACTTCGTTGTCTTGCATACGTTATCCACGAAGGTCTTAGGGTATGAATGTTGGTTCGGAGACCTGATGACTTCGTCTTCTTTACGAATTTCATGAAGTGATGGTTAAGTTGGTCCTTCCTGGAATCCATAAACATCTTTTCGTTGGCTTCTACAGATCTTTAACACAAGGAGTCGCCAGCCCTATTGGATCGGAGGGAACTTTTTCCGGGAAATCCTGGTACTGATACGATGACCTCGGAAGGAAGGAGAGGTGTTGGTCTGGTGCAGGATCAAACTAGACACCGCATTTAGGTTGCATGGTATTTTTAACCATTACACTTTCTGATCGTTTTTTAACTCTTTAATTTGCTAAAATCAATGATGGTAGACCAAAGCTCTTTGAAGTAAGGAACAAATTCATTTTTGGGGTGGTTGCTGTTCCATTAGAAGCTATCAGTGTTTATCTACACTTGAAATACAGAAAAACGCCAGAGCTTCTGGTCATTGCGCAAACTGGTCTGACTATAGCCTTATGCTTTGGAAGCGCAGTGGAAATGCTGTTCAGTATGCGCATGGCCGCCAGTTCCAGTCTACATGAGGCCACCCTTTTAAAAAATCCGTGGCGATGGATGACTCAGTGTAAGATCAGACGGAACCTATCACTAGAATTACATTCCATTCGCTCATCGTTGGCGTTTCGTCAATCAATACTTTATTGGGCTTCAATTTAGCGAATGCTCAATTCGGGCAATTTTTGGCAGCGTTTGAGACGGCGACTATACTTCTTCCTAAATTGTGAATATGAGGTGAACACAGTTTTGACGGGCATGATAAGCAGTGGTAGAAATGCCATTAAATAACACAGTCAAAGCCATTGTTCAAACCCGCTCCGCGTCACCAACCAATCCGCCTGTCCCTCTGAGGCCGCGAAATTGGTCTCGGAGAAGCAGCCTCCAACGGCTAGCAACTGCTTGTGTTAAAGGCTAGAGAACGCTGTAGCATAGCTTTCCCGTGATTCCACGGAGGATCGACTCAACCACCACTCATGAGTACAAACTTCTTAAGTGTACTAGTTGGCCAATGGGATATAGGTCGTAGAGTTAGTCTTCGATATCGAATAATTACTAGCCCGAAGTAGAATACTCGACTTTGTACGAATTTGCCACGCGGAACTTTTTCACTTTGCTGCAGAGCACAGTCACAAGTTTAGGTTAGTATCGTTTATAGAAATAACAATACAATACTAACAATGTGACGATATACAGGAGGGTGAGGATATGAGCGCTTGTACCGAGAAGTCTTGGCAGGGAGAACTGGTAGAGAGATGTGGAAAGGACTGTGGAGGAGACTGCGGAAAACCAAGACCAAGACCGAGGCTACCTAGCGCGTTGAGAAAGCTGCTTATATACGGACTATGATAGGGGGACTTCAACCAGAGGTAGTTGAAGAAATAATCTTGAAGAGGGGTGACAGAACTCTTCGGACACGACTGAGCAGTGCAATACAAATCCGTATCCGGATATGGGGATGACTAAGCAACAGTTGCATTTTCGGTTAAGACCTTAAGTGCAAGACAACGGCACTTCCGAGTGATGGATGGATGACAAAGCAATACGTGAATTTTTGGTTAAGAGATCACAACTGCAAGAAAAGTGCATAGATTGAGAACATGGCAAAGTAATGCAAGGATAAGTGTGTTTACCGGTAAATATAGTTACTATAGGAAACATACAGTAATACAGAGAATAGGAACTATTCGGGAAGTAGTTACTATATCAAGTGGCAACCAAACCCACACGCAGATGGGAAGACCTTGGACGGCACGTGCGAGGAAACAATTTGAATGAGAAAGTGTAGGATTCTGAACAACGCATAATTATAAGGATTCGTAGGGAGCGTGTGGTGCAGTGGTCGGAGGTGCCCTGCAACACACACATGAGATCGATCCCGCGTCCGCCACTGATGAAGCCTTCCATCTCTCCGGGGTCGGAAAATTGGGACCAAACTTGTCTAGGAGGATAACAGTACTGACTCGATACATCAGCAGGCCACCGCGAGTAAAGATATCCATTGTAAAGGCCAGATATCCATTCAATCACGTGCAATGTTGCGGAATGAAATCGAATCCATGGCGTATCTCTCAGGGATTTATCAACGTCAAGAGTTGCTTCCTGTGTATCGTTTATAAGAATTCGTGCCAACTTTAGCCCTTTAACATTTCTTGAGATAACGTTAATTTTTAAGGTGGGGACCATATGGGAGCATCTGTTGGAATGATGCGTATGTGGACTGGAAATAAGACCGCAAAATATTTGATGCCGCTGCTGAGGTGAAGTTTCCACCAAGCATTTCTCCTTTGAATTTGCAAAAATCTCCTCACATTCTTACTGATTTTCTGTCCAGCAAAGAGAAGAAGCGTGTTGCGATGGTTAAAGTAGAACGAGAAGCTCATGAGAAAGGCATCGAGGTGCCAAAGATTCTTACCACATTGAACGAGAAAACTGGTTACTTTTTCTTTATAACGCTTAAGAATAAGTGGATTATCTCAGTGATGTGGGAAATCAGTGAAATATTCTAGGCATGCCTGAAATTTTCCATTTGGAAAAGAAAATTGAAGATGATAGACCCTCTACGGAGCTGGAGCAGATTTTACAGCAACAGGTGAAGTTCCTTTTTGGAAAAGTAAATACGCAGAAGTAACATCCTATCCGGGCGCATGTGGCGCAGTGGTCGGAGGCTCTCTGTAACACATGGAATCGATCTCCACGCCCATGGCCCACCAAGCCTTCCATCCCTCCGGGATCGCCAAATTGGTACCAGACTTGTCTGGGAGGATAACAGCACTGGCTCGATATTGATTAATGCCAAGAGCTTTATCCTTTGCCCTTTAACACCTTACACATGAATGTTTTAGATATTGCAAGAAGAAGAAGAAACTAATGAAATCCCTGCTATCACGGCACAGGAAGTTGAGTGTCAGACTGATGCTCTCGAAACGTAGGTGATCCTAGTTTTTTTTAATACAATCTTTATAATATGATATGGTTTTTGGAACGATTTCGAACTTGCTCCACAAGGAGAAGGTCCAGAATACTTGGAAATAGTGACTCCTGTAGGCTTCATGAATAAAAGCTGTGAATACTGCCTTGGATAGCTGGACGGCTCGTCTTCATGAACTGTGCGGACCTCGGCACACTTTCCATTCATTTCTTTGCATCGAATGCATCTTTGCATCTTGGTCACGGTGGCTGGTGCGAGTCCCATAAGGTGGTTTGTAAAAGAACTGCATCTGCAGGCAGAGCTGATTCCCTTTAGTTACGAACACGTCCTCCAACCTGTAGGTGGCCGTCTTAGTGACGCCATTCTCGCGCATTGCACTCTACAGCTCTTTTCGTCCCTCTGTTGTCTGTTCGTCTCATTATATGACCAGCCCATCTATGCTTCGCTATCGATTTTATTCTCCTGGATCCTGAATGTGGGATATGTTTCGAAGATTAAAGCTTCGCATTCCGGCTAGAGGTCTTGAGTGATGGTTGTATTTCAGAAGATATCGTTCAAGGTACGTATAGCGTAGTGGTCGGAGGTGCTCTGTAATATACATAGGATCGATCCTTGCGCCCCAGGCCCACCAAGCCCTACAACCGTTCGGGGCCTGGAGGACGCCATGCATCCTCATGTGTGAGGTCTCAACATACTCAAAATATGAAAACCTCACCTGCAGCAGTTTGTTGTACTCAGGAAGTAACAGCAGCTATTTAGGGACAGTGTATCTCATGTTTTCCGAAAGTTTTTGCAAATATTGCAGATCTGAGAAGAACGCACAAACCATGGCCATAATGTCGGAGGATAGCTTTTGTCAAACCGAAGTTGAAAAAAGGGATTCGAAAGATATTGAAACCCAAACTGAACCGGAAGAACACCACAATACCGGAGTGCAGACGATCCAGGTGGAAATGAAGGACGCTGAAGTCATAACACCGATTTCACAGACGATGGTATGTGTTTCTTCCTAACGTGGATCACGGACTGGAGTAAAATCCATTTGGAAACTTATTCTTTGACTAAACTTCTTTGTTGATCTACTTCTTATCTCATGACGTGATTAAATTAAACGTTTATTATTATCATTAAATCAGCGTTCCAGGATGGACTTTGTCAGACGGAGATGGTTCCTACTATGAATCAAGTGTCACAGACGATACAAGTTGACCTTGTTGACCATGAAGTGACCGCAGAAGTTGAGACGAAGAACATTCGCATTCAAACACCGTCTCCCATGATAGTGAAGAGAACAATTCAGACAGAGGACTTAGTAAGTTTCACGGTGAATCTAATGACCTAGTTGGGAGATTTAAGCAACGTGGAATGGATCGCGTGGAAGAATACTTATGGATTTTCACCATTCATATAAGTAAATAAAGTTCTACTAATAAGGCCGAGTTAGTTGTCCAGTTGCCCTTAATGGGTAGTGTTGGTAAGTGTTGTAGATTAAGTGATGTAATAAGTAGATACGTCGTCTAATTGTAAAGATACTGATGTGCGACTATATTGCAATAGTTAAGGATATCTTAAAATACACAATTTGTAGTTCATTGGACCACATGAACTTAACGAACCAACCCCTCAACCCTTCTCGGAGTCTACATTGTTTGTGAGCGCGAAAAACCTTAACTCACAGACCACCGCAAGTGATTGTATAAGCCAAATTAGCGTTAATCCACTTCAACGATGCTAAATGTGGAGTCAAATGCATAGCCTATTTCTAAGGAGTTGATTAACACGCCAAACGCTTTTTTCTTTAATTTCTATGCACGGAACCCTTAATTCTTTTGTAGCAACTCATTTGATAGATGGCTTCTGTAAGGAAAATTAAAGCATTTATCCATTATGGCGAAAATTTTGATGTGATCATTGACGAAGTTATCCTTTTTGTGTATTATGTGTATAACAATGTATGACCTGAGATCATACATTGTTTGAGCCCCAGGACCTTTCCACCCCACTTTTTTCTCGTCCTCCAAGGCGGTCTTCGGATTTCCGTTTTGGTTTGGTTGTCATGTGAGAACTTTCTCCTTCCTATGAATGTCGGCGAGTGGTGGACCAGTTGATTCTCTGTGAAATGCTAAGATAGCTGTGGTACGCCCTTCCCACTTCTAGCGGTCGCCAGCCTTTGTGGATTGGTGGGAGTTCTTGCCAGATAAGTATGGTATATTTTTTCAGGCGCACAGAGATAGAAGTATTAGTGGGTCTACTGTGGCTTCTAACCAGCGACCTTACGCTTATCATTGGATGGCATTTATACTACTGTGCTTCGTTGACGACAAAGTCATTATAATCTCATCCTGTCATTTTAGGAAGAGAGAAAGTCACCGTCTAAAATGTCTTCTGCTAAAAAAAGGTTAAAGCGAGCGTTTGCTAAATCGAAGCCCAACAAGTTGCATCATGACGAAACGCCAACGATGAGCGAATGGAAGGTAAACGATCTAAATAACCTAAGTCGCTCCTGGTAATGAGTTCCCGTTCGGTGTTGCCCTAAGATTTTCAACATCATGATTTCCTTTCGATAACTGATTCTTTAGGAGGTTGAAGACGAAGAAATCGCCGAGGCTGAAGACGAAGTCTCAGAAGAATCACTTCATTGGGATCCGGTAAGCACTTTCATTTCAATGTAGACATTTTGTAAGGAATGTGAATAGCGTTGTGGTGTGGTGGTGAACGCGTTACTCCCCGGAAAGGATAATAGCGCGTTCGTTCCCCACCATAGACACCTGCGGTCCAGAGTTTTGCAAATATCTCAGCAACGTTGTGGTTGTATTTTGCTTAGTAACCTGCCATGAAAATTATAGAAGGCAGAAAACAAAACGTTAAACAATGTGAATAGCCTTGACAAAGGGAACCAAGTTGTCACCAAGTATCCATTGTAGTTTCCACTGTAATATCAAGGAAATCTTCCCAATCTTACTTATCACTGGTTTTGATTGCAACTCGATATCTCTTTTCTATTGCACAGGTGGACGGAATGCATGCCGAGAAGCAGCTACCAGTTTCGACGCTCACCAAAATGTTCGACCATAAAATGATGCTCGAGCGGAGAAAAAGGTACTAGCTAGGGTTACTTAACTAACGAATTGGAGTACTTTAACCCAAAAATGTGGTGATATAGATAAATAATGCTATAGCTCGGATCTAGAATATTTTTCTTGTACCTAACATGCTGATGTATCAAGTTCTAATTTAGCAAGCGCAAATCATTATCGTCGTCCACAAGCATACGAGAAAAGGCGTCCAGACAATCACAATAAGCTGCTGCTCGAAATCCACATGACGACCAAAATCTACTCATTGGTTTTTCCCATGTGTTATGGATGTAGATAAAATGTCACCCATCAAATTGTTCTTCATTACGAAAGTTAGAAAAAAAACAAATATATGATAGAATTTCACGACTAGAGCTGTTTACTTAGAGAGCACGGAAAAATATTAGTATAGTGGGCATGTCGATGGACGCGATCACTGACTCATCATAGCTCACATTCAACATCACATGTGATGTGACAACAGAAGATCCGAAGACAAGTCTCAATTGCAAAAGGATAGAGAGGGATTAAGCTGTTCTCGTTGTTGATCGATCCGTGATGGATGCACCATGCATCCGACATCATCAAACATCGTCGGATATGATCGAATGCAGATACTGGAGATCTGGCGGATACAGTGATTTGCGGTGGTACACCGTTGTAGCATATCGGTTTTTTATTCTCTCTAAAGTAGCTTCTCAGACTAGTAAGCTAATACAGGATTGGTAAAAAAAATTAGTAAAACATTAGTGCAAAGAAACCAGGGTAATAAAGATCTGCATGTGCATTCGAAGAAGCAAAACAGCGTGTAGTATAGCGGTTTGAGGTGTCTTGTGACACACTTAAGAGCGATCTTTGGGTTTGATGTCGCACCTAAGGCAGACCGAGCTCTCCTTCCCTTCAGTATCCGGTATTTGATACAGACTCATCTCGAAAGATGAAATAACTCACTTGTTGCACCAATCAATCATATCTACAATACAATTCGTATAATGCTGAGATATTTGCAAAATTCCGGACCGCAGGTGTCTGCGATGGGGAACGAACGCGCTATTGTCCTTTCCGGGGAGTAGCGCGTTCACCACCACACCATGCGGGTCCTTCGTTTCGCCTGTCTCTCAGCTAGTTCTATCGATCTTTGCCACAGCAATCACCCGTCAGCGGGATTGACCTGGGGAGCCCACATCGGCATTGAACCCAGCTAAGCTACTCTACTCCCCGGAAGGACAATAGCGTGTTCGTTCCCCACCGCAGACACCTGCGGTCCGGAGTTTTGCAAATATCTCAGCATTATACGAGTTATATTTCGCAACATACGCTGCCATTAAAAAGAATAGGCAGTAAATAAAAAGGTTAAGATTGTGATCATATCTACAATACTTGATGAGATCAAATATATCATGGTATATTCCTCAGGGATTGATCACTGTTGAATACTTTGTACTTCTAACCTTATTCGAAGAAGCGCGAATATCACTGTGGTTAAAGATGCCCTAAGAATACAATATGGCAAGTGGTTCGCCGTGTCGCCCACGAAAGTCAAGCTTTCAGCCCCTCGTGGGTCGGGAAATTAGTACCACAGTGATCTAGGCGAAAAGAAACACCGACTTGTTTATCAGTAGGCTCATTACGTTCTATTCAATGGAACAAATATGCATTCAGTCAGCTCTCCATGCTTCATCCTTCATATGAAGCCGAGTGCACGCCGCTCATTCCCAAGGATGATTAACGTCGAACGTTTTACCCCTTATTTTCTTTAATATGTTCTCGAAAAGTTTGCCATGGTATGCAAACTTCTTGCGGATTCTCGAAATTCCTAGAAAATGTTCGATGAAGACGGTTATGCAGAAAGTTCAGTGCTCGTGACGTTAGCTACTATACAATAGATGTATCTCATAGCTCTGATATCGGTTCTTCAAGTACTAAATGATCAACACCGGTTCCAATAGGAAGTCGGTGATGCAAGTTATATATTAAAACAGTGGCATTCGTTAATATCCTCGCTGAATCTGGCTAACCATCAGAAATGAAGTGTTTGTCATAGAGTTCATCTGAGAGAAAGTCAGCAATGCTGATTTCATATTAACAACCAGATATCGTATTTGTAAACACGTATAAAAAAAGATGAACGATAAAGCTCTGGCGTTGATCAATCCCTGAGAGGTGCGCCATGCACTCTACTTCATTAGGAAACGTGTGGTGATTGAATGACCTTTACATATCTGGTCTTTGGCATATCTGGCCTTTACAATGATTTGCGGTGGCCTACGATGTATCGAGCCAGTACTGCTATCCTCTCAGACAAGTCTGGTACTAATTTGCGGACTGGGTAAGGATGGAAGGCGTCGTGGACCACGGCGCTGGGATCGATTCCGCGTGTGTTTTGCAGGGATTCTCCAACCACTGTGCCACCGCGCGTTGTTAACACGTATAAGGGGCAAATTTGATATAAACAGTGACCTATGGGGTGAGTATTATTTCTAGTTTAGTCGGTTACTTAGACAGTGGTCTGAGCGTCACTATTTTTTTCTTTTTTGGAAGATCTACAAACGAGCAGTTTCTGGTAGTATAACGGGAACTTCGCGCAGCTTTTCCACGATCTCGCTGCAACCAAAACCGTAAGTTCAGCGTCATCGGTGAAGAGTCTCAGTATAGATAGATCCTCAAAAATATTTAACATTGAAATACTACTAAGGATCGTACATGTGGTTCTTAAGATTCAACATTTAACTTAGACATCCATGATATCGACGACGATCTTTAGTCTCATCTTTGTGCTGAAAAGAAGGGAAAAAACGCGGCACTCAAGCCGATTGAACAGTACAGTGTTCTCAAGTGATTTTAGGAGAAGATATAGAAAAAATCTGTCACTTTTAAGTTGCACTTTACTGAGACCGCCCACTATCGCTTAAGTTATGGGAGAGTTGAGCAGCATTATGTAGGTACAGCGCAGTTGTTAAGGAGGCGTTGCAATACATACATGGTCGTTGTTTGGATCAAGCGTCTAGGGCTAGACAAGTTCCATCCCACCATCGTCTAAAAACTGGTAATTAACTTGTCTGAATGGATAAAAAACTGATATGCCACGTCGGTAGAGCAGTGCCATTCACTGTATGTGTAAAATATACATTAAATCAACTCTACAGTGCTATCAGTGGACTCGAATTCATAGGGAAATAACTAAGGAATTGACCAATGCTGAACGTCTTTAAACCTCAGGCAAGGTTTCAAAGGACTATACCATTTGCATGTTGTATGTATTTATATCTAAATTGGGATCATTTTCAGTGATCTCGAAGGTTATCCATCGAACTTATCAATCCCACTTGTCGACTCGGAATCCTGGTTTATTTTTTATTTAGTTCTATTTTTATTCTACTTTCATTCAATCTACTATTTTAATCTACTACTATCTTTTACCCCACTTGATGTTGTTCGCACCTATTTATTTAGTATGTTGATATTTCTATTTCCACCTATACTACGCACTTGTCTACGAAGCCGACAAAACCAGATGTTCGCCAAGTGGAAGAAGTGTGAGACGAAGGAAAACTTTTGCATTAGACCTAATAGAGTTGCAAATCAACACTGACGCGCACACTATTCTCCTCCAGAGGCGGTCCTCCAAATATTGAGCACAAAAGTTTTCCTTCGACTCGCACTTCTTCCACTTGGCGAACATCTGGTTTTGTCGGCTTCGTAGACAAGTGCGTAGTATAGGTGGAAATAGAAATATCAACATACTAAATAAATAGGTGCGAACAACATCAAGTGGGGTTCATTACCTCTCCTCAGCAGAGAGAGGAGTCCCGGAACTTGGCACGGCAAATAACCTTTTCTAATGGCTACGAAACTGTAGCTCGGGATAGGTGTAGAGGAAATCGTAGGCCTCCAAACGACAACTCTAGCGATAGAAGGGTCCCGTTTATCCTACCCCTCATCTCAAATGATATAAGTACAGCTATAAAACGCTGCTTAAGAAGGGCGGGCTTAGAGAATTCGGTGAGCGTAGTTGAAATACCACCGAGCAATCTTAAGCGCCAGCTAGTTCGTAACCGCCTATATGACCGTCTATTGCAACTCAAAATTGCATAATTTGCCCCAGTGGTAGAGACGGTTGCAGACGATTGCATGAGCTCGGGTATAATTTATCTGATCTCCTGTAAGACATGTGGTGACGAATACATTGGCGAAACGGGTAGACTATGGTACCCCTCTGTGTCCGCATGAAAGAACACCTAGCCGGCAAAAATAGACCAAACACCCCGCTAGGCACGCATAGGACCCAGAGACATAACGGGAACGACTTCGAAGTATGTGTCACGATCCTCGCACGCGAATCAAGAACACAGGCGCGAAAAACTCTTGAGGCACTCTGGATTAATTCCAGAAATCCGAAAATGAACCGCAGGGAAGAATGCCTCATTATCACGCGTGATATAGGGCAGTATATAAAACTGCTTTTCTGATGTGAGGGGCACATTATACTTCCACGTGATTTCTGTGCGGTTGGTCTCTACGTGACATACTTAGTGGAAACCTCATAGGAAGCGGTGAGTGTGCAAAGCTGTGTTCAAAGTGATTGAAATTTTGGTTTAGAGTTTCTTTGTTTGGTTATGGAGGCGTCTGGCCTAGTGGGTTGCTGTCAACTTGACCTTTCCAGGCTCTGAGGAAGGCGAAATCCGCCGAAACGTCAGCTTAATCGTGAACAAAGAATAATAACACCTCGCGTTTGCTCAACAAAAATACGAAGAAAATTATTTATCTATTTTTTAGTTTGAACTGAAACATACTGTATTGCTTGGAAGAAACAGTGATGGGCACTTGGTGGTGGTGAGGGTGGCACCATTCTATGCATCCTACCCTTGCATCGAGCCAGTGCTGCTATCTTTCCACACAAGTCTGGCACCAATTTGCCAACCCCAGAGGGATGGAAGGCTTGGTGAGCCATGGGCGCGGGGACCGATTCCACGTCCGTTTTGCAGGGCATCTCCGAGCACTGCGCCACACGCATCCTTTAACCTCTGGTTACACCATTTAATGCTCAAGAAAGCGAACCAACATCTATCTGAATCTGCGTCTGTTTGCAAAGGTGGAGTAGCTTGTATAGTAAAGGTGTAGGATAATCACAATAGTGCGACTATTGAGAACTTAGCTTCTACATCATCTTCTATCATCAGTAGTGTTCCAAATACTAGGTTACATGGTCTCGAGAACAAGAAAACTTGTAAAACAATGCTTTATGAAACAATACAGTATATCCAAATCGGATATGTGCTTTCAGAAGCGTGAATTAAGAATGAGATAAGGAACAGAAGAATAACGTGCTCATCGCTGTTTTACCATTTGGTGATATCCAGTGCATTCCACTTCTTTTAGGATCGCAGAATGAAGTGCATACTCCATGGTCCCTAGTGATACCAAGTCAGGTTTTTTTATCCTCTACGGCTGATTTGGTACTTTATGGTGTACTCTGCTACACCATTGCGCCAAAGGTGATCCGTAGCCATGCGCATTATTGCACAGCATAATCTCAAAAATAGAGGAATAAAGGATTTCTGGATGGACTATGAAACCTATGATACGCTACTCAGCAACCGACCCAAACAAGAAAAAGGCCATATGAAAGTAATCGTATAAACGTAGAAAGTATTTCTATTTAGTCACTGTTTAGTCGAATCAGAGAAAGGTAGATCTCCTCAATGCACGAAATATCTTCGTGCTGCAGTGTACTCAAGCCAATGACTACGCGTCCAGTGTCGTTTTGAACAAATCTGGACGAAGCATCGTCGAATTTGTTTATGAGTCTGGACGATGAGTCTAAGCTATGCAACTGCTGCTTACAACCTAAGTGTTCGAAATATCACATAAACACGTAAATCGATGCCAAGCATAGTTGGTACAATTCGAAGTCCAAAGAAGATTCTTCTGCGATCAGACATGTTGACCCTGTAATAAATATGCACATAGTTCAAACTTTAATGATGCTGAGATATTTGCAAAACTCCGGACCGCAGGTGTATGCGGTGGGGAACGAGCACGCGCTGTTGTCCTTAGAACTAGCTGGGAGACAAGCGAAACGAAGGACCCGCGTGGTGTGGTGGTGAACGCGTTTCTCCCCGGAAATGACAATAGCGTGTTCGTTCCCTACCGCATACACCTGCGGACGTTAAGTTCCAACTTTAGTTAGTATAGTTAAATTACTTCAAAGTTATAATACGTTTTTCATAGCATCACGTCATTCACTAATGTCTGTGAACCAAAGTGGTGCGAAATTTAAATAACTGAGCAAGACGTCGAACCTATTTAGAAGATCAACTTTGAATTTCTCGCAATAATTAACAGCGTTATTTTTGAAGTCGAAATAATTCATTCCGCTTCTTATCCATGAGTTTGAATGTATAACTGAATTTGCTTTGTAAAACATGTAAACCCACTAACGGAGTGAAATCCCGGGACCTGTAGCATTTAACTCAAATTGGCGCTAAATATTGCTGCCAGATCGACATTGTTTCCAATATGCTGATGCAGAATCGTCTTAAAAACAGAAGAATTTGATTTAGGTTTTACTAGATTTGATCCTCGACCGTATCCCGCATGACTGAGATGACTTTCATAGATGTTTTCGCCGTACGCAGAAATGTCACCTAGGAACAGAGTGGCACGCACTCTTGAATATACAATGATATCTTTTGGAAAGACTGCACGATTTGCAGCATTTGTCGAGTAGTGGTAATTTCCTATCTCCCTGTAGTTATCACCAGACACAACGACTTCATTTTTCTTTGACAATGCGGTTCCTCATAAATGGACATCTGGAGGTGAAGGTACTCCAAATTGATATGGCAGTCGTTCATGAGCTCACTTAAAGGCTCAGGGACACTTGCTGTACTTGACTCGAAAATGGGAGTACAGAGCTAAGCAGCAGACTTGAATAGCCCGATTTTACGAGTTATGCCGGCTCTCGAAGACTACCCATTCATTTCATTCCTTGGTGGCGATAGTGTCTCAAAAGAAAAACAAAAACAAAACAAGGTGGAGAACTGCCCATGCTCATCTGATAAAGCAGTGCAACACAAAATTCGGGAGGAATGTCTGTCCAGCTTATAATACAACTGAGCCACTATTAGAAAGAAAAAACAAACAAGGCGCAATCTCCAAGTACGTATTTGAAAAGAAGTAACAGCAATCATGACACATGCAAAAAGCGCAAAATTTTATAACAACACGCTTCCAGAAAATTTTTGGTGACATAGTTCCTCCTGAGTTTAGAAGGTTCGTTTCCGTTTTAACGTTCGATATGCTTCGATAACTCGCTGACGGTCGATCTCTCCCGGTTTTGACCTATTAGTGTCTTTCAAGTACGTAGTGGTTGGTACACACTTTTGCGGCAAAAGCGAGTGGAGAAGCAGATTCTTGGCTCCAGCCTGAAGTAGCGGCAGATAAATGTTGCGGCTTTTAAGCATAACTTTTTCTTTCAGTGCACAAAGTACACCATCATTGCTAGAAGGAACACTGACGCTACATCGTATTTCACAAACGATAAATATAAAGTAAGATAGCAAATGATCGGCCAGCACTCCAAAATGTCCCAATTTCCAAAAGACCAGACGATTCACTTATTTGTTTTGTGGATTTCGGTGACATGACGTCGCTACTACACTCTTAATATACCTTCTTACCGTAAGTTGGCACGATGGTGTTAGCAACCGACAAACTGATCCTTCGCTTCCCATGTTGGAATACTTCGTTAAGGTACTTTTATAAAACAGTACGACATATTTTAATGAAATATGGTCCGTATACTATTCGAGGATATCTACTTCATTATTAACGCATAACGGAAGACTAGGCCGCATGTGGCGCAGTGGTTGGAGGCGCTACTGCGACACACACGTGGAATGGATCCTCACGCTCATGGCCCACCAAGTTTTCCATTCCGTAGAGGTCGCCAATTGGTACCAGACTTGTTTGGGAGGATAGCAGTACTGGCTTGGTACATCGGCACGCCAACACGAGTCATTGTAAAGGCCAGATATGCATTCAATCACCTCCAACGATACTTAATGAAGTCAAAGCAATCGCGCATCCCTCAGGGATTGATCAATGCCGAGAACTTCATCCTTTATTTAACGGATGACTTGGACGTATAGGCCATAACATGATCGCATAAATGAAGGATTTGGACGTACAATGTCCATTCACAGTTAAATAGGCTAAAGAATTTTTTTGCCATACTATGTAAACTCATTCTATAACTGAAAGGGAGCAGAACAAAACAGAAGAATATGGACCATAAAAATTTTCTTCTGGATAACCCAAAAGACCGACATTCTATAAATCTGGGTGTAAACGACCGATACATTTATTTACATGTTCTTTTGCTACACTTAACGATTCACAAAAACCTTTTTTTAAAAGAAATTCGCTGCCCGGTGATTTATCTTTTAAGTTATTTCATCTTAACGGTTATTGAACGGAATGCGTAGGTATAAGAAATGCCGAGGTAGACCGAACACAAATTGCCAACCCTCCCGAGTGCTGACAGTAATGTGTTTGCAGGATAAACCATAGTAAGACAGTAAATAGTAGCATACAAAATATTCGTACATATTGAACGATAGTGCCAAGTCTTTTATACAAGCTTGTCATGCTTTCAAGTTCTCAACTCCCCTAGTTATCGGAAAATTACTGTTTGTTATCAAAAAATCAACATAACCGCAAGGGCCGAAAACGAGGCGTCGCCCTAAACGACAGGTACGCGCGTGCCTTAAGTGTTAAGTTAAGACTCAGAAAGCTCTCTAACGTATTGATATCGACGTTTAACTTCACAGCATTACGGATATGTTGGTTTTTCGACCACAGACGACAAATTTCGACAGCTCGAGGACCACAGATATGGAGAACGTTACGGAATTACGGAAGAAACTTTGCTCTATAGCTCTAGTGGTACGCATAGTATGTATGCTACAACATACTACACTATGTTATCATCGCCTTACGACCACATCCCCATCAGCACTTCAAAGTATTTTGCAGTGTATTTGAGCCTGTTTCTGTATTTCTTAAAGCCTCCCATGTTCATACGATAACCACGATTAACGATTCCTCAAATTTATCCACACGACATCCGCAGTGCTGATCCCAACACCTTTTGCATTCTATTTGTTGCCTTGTATTAACAATCCGTGAAAGTCTTCGAAAATTTTCGTGCGGATGCGGCTACTGGTTGAGAATATTCGTATGCGTTACGAATGCCGTTGATTGCTGGTCAAGTTAATTCACTCAAGAATTCTGGTATAGGTGTACTGGGAAGTTGCCACGTGGAATGAAGAGAGTTGAGCGGTCCCAGACGAGTCTGGTAGTGATTTCCCGGTCCTAGAAGGATGGAACCTTGGTGAGCCCGAAAGGAAGTCGAACCGGCACCGTGCTTGTTATGAATGGCACCACTACCACCATACTAGAGGATGCTCGAGCCGGTGCACACCACAACATTCGCGCTAGATAAACTACCGAATGATTACGAAAAGCACCAAGAAACCATATCTCACGCCATCCCTGATGTGATAAACAGGATCTTATCTTAACTTTTAACGAAAGAACTGTAACAGATGGTCTCTTTAACGGAGCTATCGACATATGTATTGGATAATAGGAGCTTTGAATATTGGATATAGCAACGAACCTTGCACTTTCCACCCAACAAAGTTTTCAGATATCAGAGAGATACAATCCAACCCGTCGTGTACTGGGCTAGTTGCTGCTGGTTAGTGCACGAAAACGTGTCAACGCTCGATTATAGTGCGTTGGACTAGTATAAACTAGCGAATGAACCATCAAATTGAACTTGGCCTACCAAACGAATTTCACCGCAGTGATATGGAGAGTTTTCAATACAGAATTTCCGGAAATCGTTGAGAGTTTTTTAAGGTAAAAAAAAAGCAAACGTTGCCGTAGTAGTGATACCTTCGCCATCAACGGATTCATCACATCCTTCAAGGGTCCTTTGTATTCTGGTGGGGCGTCGTAACGTTCTCCAAACGCGAGCACTTCTGAATGCAATATTTCCACAGCAATCATTTTAATCCTCCCAGTTTCTATGGAAAATAACAATCTAAGACGATCTCCGAATATACATATTCCACATGAGTGAAATTGATTTTCAAAAATAAATAACAAACAAAGGATCAAAAAAATAACCTCTCTGGTTTAAAACTGCTTCATTGCACTTGTACTTCGAAGCTAACCTCTTCTTCAGTCGTACTTTCTCCGACCCTCCTAATTTTCTGTTCATCCCCTTCACACTAATTTTGTCATTGATCGGTTTTAACGTCAACGACTCATGATCTTTCGCTGTAAAACTGCTCTGAAAATAATAACTAGCTAACTTTTTCATGTACTGCCTACTACAATTCTCACTGCAGGGTATAAGGCGAAATCAACTACAACGATGCTGAGATATTTGCAAAACTCCGGACGTCAGAGGCAGGTGTTTTCGGTGGGGATCGAAAACGCTATCACTCTTTTCGTGGGCTAACGCCTTCATCAGCACACCATGCGCGTCCTTCGTTTCGCCTTTCTGTCAGCTAGTTTTCTATCCACCATTGCCATCAGCAAAGGGTAATACCGTGCTCAATCTCCATCGTAGACACTTGTTGTCCGGACGTTTGCAAATATATCAGCATCATTGTGGTTGATTTCGCACATTAATCAGTGTTGGAAAATCTGTGGTTCGACGTTTCGCTATTTTTTTTCCTAATTTATGGAACACTTTATAGTTATTCAGAATAGGAAGCGAAGTATAACACTATAGTAAAATGAATTTTCGTCGAATATAATACTGAACCTTTAAGACAGTAAACTAAAATGACACAGTAAGAGGGTGGTTAGCTAAAATCTAAGCACACAAGACGCAAACAGTGTCGACAACATCTATGCATAATTCTAAAATTTCTTAGATATCGAGTTTTCTTGTAGTTAATCACTACAAGAAGATGAATCCATATAGCTTCTGGTTTCTCAGAAAAGTTACTCTTTTCTTTTTCAAGAGATCCTCGAAAAATAGGCGATTAATCTATGAAGAGGTTACCCGTGACAATTTTTTATCCTCTGCCATGCGGTACATATCCAGAAGCTGCCAATAACATATTCGAAATGAAAGATGTAATTTCTCTTGAACGAAGAAATGTTAGCACTTTAACCTAGTCACTTGCTCAACACGGAGATCTCATGGTGCAGCTTGTAAAAAAAATGTACCCTCAGTATCCTAGAAAACGAGTTTGCTGTTCCTTAATTAGGATAGCACAACAAGCAACTAGGTGATGAAATTGATGAGACCGGCGATACATAAAACATATAGCAACATGGATTAAAACAAGAGATCTACAAAATGCTGCTGAGACAGCTTTCTGCTCTGAACACTTAACTCAAGAACCCTCACCAAGGCAACAGATGGTAAAACATTTTCGTGAAAAGATGGACTAATAACGACAATAAAATGAACGACTACGACCGTTTCGATTGGCGAAAATATTGATGTTTTTATCGAATCCACTAAAAAGCACAAGCAGCAGCTCTGCACCATACTAGAATGGAATTATGAGTTGACATACTGCGGAGTACAATAAAAAAATTTGACTTCGTAACAAATTTGAAACCTCCCAACACTTTACCGCTTTATCACAGCTAGGAGGTGTTCCCGGGTGTCGGGCTGCGATGTACAGCGGGTGGATTCATTCCGCCAGCACGGTCTCCCAAGCTGAGAACGAGTCGGGCGTTTCCATTAGGGAACCCACTAAGAGTAAACCAATACCAGGATCCACCACCGCCATGATATCAAATTAGTCGCATGGTGGTAAATCTCCCTCTGATCCACAGTGGCCGTGACTGCCTGTGGTGGCGGCAGACCTGGTGTACACATGGACTAGGCCGATTTCGGGACTCCAGGAAACCAAAATGGCTAAACCAGCAAAACTCCAAAGAAATGGAAAATATATTGGGGCGCACAAACAGTGAGGACGGGCTATCCGAGTATCCAGGTAAGTAAGTATTGTTGCAATAATAATAATTAATAACAACAGTAATAACAACAATGGTAATAACAATAATGATAATAATAAAGCAATACTTTACTTTAGTCATCACGTCGGTCTCTTCCTCTTTTTCGACCAAATCCTCGTTTCGCTGCATTCCGCTTCGCTTGAGCTTCCTCTCTGTTTTTCCTTCGAGCTTTTCCTAATCAGAAAAAAATGGAGCCATCTTTATTATTTGGGACAACGATCATCTATAAATCAATAACAGCAAAAGAATGAAAAGAAACCCCCTACTTATCAAATAAATGTGATAGTTCCCAGGACCGACTTTCTATTAACCTCGACATTGGAATATGAATGCGTCGTTTTCTTGTTCAGCAATCGCGAGGTTTTTAAACAGCGTACATTAGCTTCCATAGAAAAACACAATACAATACAACGCTAGCTGACGTTTCGGCAGTATCGCCTTCTTCAGAGCCTGGAAGGGCATACTGATATACAATCTACTAGGCCAAACGCTTCAATGACACTTACAAAAAGACGAAAACACTATGGTAATTACATGATCAACAGCTTCTCGAAAAACTCACCGCTTTTTACGTGACTTCCAATGAGGAAGTTCAAAACAGCTGATTAAAGTCGCGAAAACTTCTTGAGGCTTTTTGGATAAATGCCAAAAACCTTACAATGAATAGCAGGAACGAGGCCCAGAGGTTATACGCGACCTGACCCCGTATGTTGGCATCAATTTCGGATGTGGGATGATGCAGTCATCAATCATATGCGACTATAATCAGCTGTTCTGAACTTCCTCATTGGAAGTCACGAAAAAGCGATGAGTTGTTTGGAAGGCTGTCGATCATGTAATTACCATAGTTTTTTCGTCTTTTTGCAACTGTTATTGAAGCGTTTGGCCTAGTAGATTGTATATCAGTATACCCTTCCAGACTCTGAAGAAGGGGATACTGCCGAAACGTCAGCTAGCGTTGTATTGTATTGTTTTTCTATGGAAGTATGTATGCTGTTTAAAAACCTCGCGATTGCTGAACAAAAAACGACACATTCAAATAAATGTGGTTTACCTCTTTAATTTTAGCATGGCTCTCTCGTTTTCTTCTAGCTGCTTTTATTTTGTTCCGTATTTCGTTTTTACTCTGCTCTTTCCTCCTTTTTTCCTTCTCTTCTAACAGTTTGAAATCAGTAGCGATGTCCGTTTCTTTCCGCCCTACCAAGCCTTGTCTGATCTAAATTACGAAAAAATGACACGATAAAACACTTATGGAGAAAAATAAGAGAATTTCCTTGGATTTGAAAAAGTGTAGATTTATTCTAGCAATGTAAAAGTTAGATGAAACACCCATTATATTACGGCACGATGAGGCCTCCTAATTTACGTGAGAACGAACTCAGAGACTAAAATCAACGATGACGTCACTACATTATCAAACATTCGCTTTCTAGAACAAATTAGGAAAAAGTGCCTATGATAATTAGAAATGAAACGGACATAAGTGAACAGGATAAAAAAAGGATAAAGCTCTCGCCGTTGATCAATTCCTGAGGGATGCGCCATGCATTCGACTTCATTAAGCATCGTTTGGAGGTGAATGAATGTACATATGACCTTCACAATAACTCGCGGGGTCCTACTGATGTATTGGGTCATTGCTGCTATCCTCCCAAACAAGCCCGGTACCAATTTACCGAACCGTGAGGGATGGAAGGCTTGGTGGAGCGTAGGCGCCGAAATCGATCCTATGTGTTACAGGGCGCCTCCAACCACTGTTCCACACGCGCCCCTTGTTCAGGATACGAAATTAGGTAACACGAAACCCTGAGTCCAAACGGGTGAAATAGTGGAGTCTAAACTTTATCACCTACCAAAATCTCATGATCCTTAATGGCCAAATGTGTCATTCGCTCGACACGCCGTACAAAGTTTCGGACAGTCTCGAAACGACCCATGCGGATGCCATTTCTTTTTGCTTCAGCTAAACAAGCACGATCAACTTCAGTGTCAGTACTCCTTTACGAAGCACTATGCTACGTATTCGCGATAGTGGTGATTTCGTGATAACTACCTAGAATTCCTGAATAACGTAACTACGAGTTCCACAAACAATCGCTTTTAAGCGCACAGATATTCTCTAACGTTTACAGCAAGTACTACAACTACAGTTAAAAAAATCACATACAAAGTTGCACACCCTCGCAATAACGACGCATTTTAGATGCCTAAGTATTGTGCTGAACGAAATTGTGCTCATTCTATCGCTGCCGTACTCGAGATACGAATCTCGACGAAAAAAGGCGACTATACAGACAATTCGTTTGTTCCACAACATCGAAATCTAGTCGCAGCAGAATAAGTAAATTGTGCAATGGCTTGCTTAAGATTCTTGCTTGGATGCTTGCATGGCCCGTTCTCACCGGTTATGCGGGCCTTAGCGTAATTTTCCTTTTTTTGGAGATCTGTTGGTTCAGCCATTGTGGTTTATTGGAGTCCTGAGGTTAACCTAGCCAAACTCTGCCCCCGCTCGTCACCGCCAAGGGAGGTACCGTCTTTGTAGATTAGAAGGAGATTTGCCACCGTGCGACTAGACTGGTATTAGGACAGTGGTGGGTCCTGGTACTGTTTTATTCTTTGTTGGGCCTGCTAACTGATGGATACGCTGGACTCCTTCTCAGCTTGCGAGAACCTGCTAGGAGATGACCCCGCCACCTCTCGTTATACATCACAGCCTGACACTCAGGAAAACCTACTAGCCACGATAAAGCGGTTAACCATTGGGAGGCTCTAATGAGAATAAAAAACCGAAACATTTGTGTTCATGGATGACACATAGATCTCCTGTCCTTAATGAGTTAAAGGATGCTATATAATGAAGTGGCATTCAGAAAACACTCGCCGTTTTACCACGCGCCTATGCCATTAACAGAAAAGGCAAAAAGTGTGGAATAAAATAATTCGTATCTATAAGCAACAGCGAGGACGTCTCAACATTAACGTGCCTTTATTTTAAAGTCTAATACCAGGTATAGATGGCTGAGTACAGCATAGACGAATGATATAACTAACCAAGCACCTTATTCCTGCACTGTTTCCTCCTCTTCACATCAGCCTTAGTAAGATGCACTTCGGCCTTAGATTTCTAAAGAATTGTTCTTGCTAATACTTTAATATCACGACATATGTCCTATAATATGAAGAAAAGAGTGGAGAAAGTTACTGCGTCAAAGTCACCGCGACGAACCTGTAATTCCTTCAATGATCTGGTCATTTCCTGGTTGTCATCTTTCGGCTCCCAGTTGATTTTTCTAAAGAAAACCATGAACCATACATTATCAGAATTACTCAAGTTCTCAGTGACCATACATTGGACACCTGTGTAAACAGTATAACATCGTTGAATTGTTTGTTTTTAATCGGAATCCCCTCAACAGCTTACCACCTCATCGTGACTGATGGATGTTTCTGAGTGCTGAACTGCAAAGTAGTACAAAGCAGCGTTTCCTAAGCTAAAAACTGTTTTAGCATTTTCATACCATATACAACTAGGTACATCTGAAGTAATTCCACCCCGTGCCCCAGCCTCATCAGGTATTCCATCTCCATGACCAGCAAAGTGGTGCCATACCTGTCTAAAAGGATAGCAGCACTGAGTAGAAACAACCGTAAACCACAACAAGCCATTGGATAAGTCGAATACGCATTAAATCACCTCTGAAGAGGTTTGAAGTATCGAACGCATGGCGCGTCCTTCAGAGATTGATAACGCCAACAGCTGTATCATTTAGTTTCATACAACGAGTAAATTAATGTTCGGAATCACTACCTCTTTGCTAGGAACCTAGTCATAAGGTATCAAATCTCTCTAGTCCACGAGGACGGGCAAGTCCATCTGGTGACGACTTGGAAAAATACAAACGACGGTATCTTGAAACTCGAGAAATGTGAAATCTTGCCCGAACAGTAAATGAAAAACGAAAGGAACACGATGCTGGGTTCGAACGACCTCTAGGTAATCAGAACATCGAGTATATATGGAAAATCGATCACTACTACTCTCACTTGCATTTTAGTACCTTTCTTTATTTTTATACGATCCGTCTTCACATTCATTGCGTGGATCCCAGGACATTTCACAGTCGATTCGTTTTCTCACATCCAATATCCACAAAGGCCTTCCAATAATTTTTCCGAGGGTAAGTCCGGAACCAAATGCGCGACCCCGTAAGGATAAAGGAGTTTGTGAGCTCACAGCGGGATCGCACGACTACCGCCTTGTCTTCGTTTAACAGCGCTGCACACATGATTTTGGGAGTAAAGTTCGCTCAACACCTTCATTCTAACGACCTTGACTTCATATCGATCTCTTTTGAATTCTTACCACTTAATAAAGAGAAAAACGCAAATACGAGCTATTTCTCCTTTGCTTGTAATTCTGGCTCTTCTTTTCCTATGAGTCTAAATGCAGAGTGAAGGCCGCGGAAAAACGTGATCTTTGGAGATCACAGCTGGTTAAACTCAATGCAGTGGACAATTGTCACATGAAGATATGAACCGAGGTTCCTTCAAGCGCAGGGGCTGAAAGTTTACGAACCAGAGGAATTGACACAACGGTATATATGAAATACATAAAAGTACATAAATAAAAGGATAAAGGATAAAGCTCTCGACGTTGATTAATCCCTATGGGATGCGCCATGTATTCGACTTCACTAAGCATTGTTTGGAGGTGACTGAATGCATATTTGGCTTTTACAATAACTCGCGGTGGCCTACTGATGTATCGAGCCAATGCTGCTATCCTCCCAGACAAGTTTGGTATTAGTTTGCCGACTCCGGAGAGGTGGAAGGCATGGTGAGCCATGGGCGCAGACATCTATTCCACGTGTGTGCTGCAGGTCCCTCCGACCACTGCACCACACGAACCCCTATAAAAGTACATACAATGTGGAATATATCCAAAAAATTACGCACCTGTATATACATATATTTGCGCAGTTCTACTTTTTTTTTTGCAACGAAAACATAAAAACATTAACAACAAGAAAAGCTTGGCAGAAATATGGAGCATGAACTGGGAGAAAAGTAAAGTTCTGTTGTTGCTGTAAAATCTACATTTTCATTTTAGGCCCGAAAGTTCTCTTCTTGATTTCATCGTAACTATTGCTAGAATTCCATTCTGTCCAACTCGTAACTTTCTGTCTTAAGTTGGTCAACAATGATGTAAGGGGAATGAAGCTCAGTGGTAGTGTTGATAGTCACTACGTGCGCGATTCTGGCATAACACCGAGCCCGGTTCACCAATTCTGTCATTCATCTAGGGTTGGAAAATTGGTACCACACTTGTCCGGAAAGAGTTCTTCCTGTTATCCAAATGAAAATGCTACAGGCCGGGTAAGAGCTCAATACTATATTAACTATTCCTGAAATAGGTCCTATTTTTATATTATCTTATGTTTTATATTGCTTTATTCCTTCTATAATAACTGCTTACTTGTAATTATTATAAATCAATCCTTGCATATTCTGTAAATTGCCTCTTAGCGAATGCTTCAGGTATTTGCCTCGCAGTTAGCTAAATAGTGATACCGTAACTTGTTTGTATAGACCGCTGTTCTTTGTCCGACGGTTCGAGCGCTGAATAAACGGCCGCCTGCTGTATACACTTTCAAGAATCGGCCGTTGGACCAGAAGACCGGCGAGGCAAACCCATACAAAGTCGAGGATTCCAGCTACAGTTGTCGGACAGAAGACAAATACGACCACCTACTACTTTATATTCCACTGATCAATTAGCACAGTTATCTGTGATCATGGGATCGCCATAGCCCTACTATCTCCAGACTCCAGAGAAAATCGACTCGACCAGCATTTAACAACCTCGTGACGAAAAAAAATATTCAAGCAATAACCGAATATACACGAAGAAAAGCCCAAAGCTTTCGTGAACGACGGACGCGAGGGAAAGAATCAAATGCAAGATGTGCTAGGACCCGCGCAGTAGATTTGAAAGACGGATCCTGTAAAAAAAACGACGATATAGCAAAACACCCTCCGTGCATACAATGAGCTTTCCCTGCTCAGTATATGCCCCAGTTCATACAGTTAGCAATTCAACAAATTGTATTGTCTAGTACTGGCACCTAATAATTGAACTTCACATAATCAAGTTCACTATGAACTAGAATATGTTGCTCTAAAACCAAAAACGGCCGCTATTCCAACAATATATGCACATTGCTCACTGCGCATCGAACATTATGTCCTGAATTTTTTTCTGTCCAAAGTCCGAGATTTTGAACTGGATAACCTAACAAACTTTAGGATTAGAATCTCAACATAGATCAACTCAACTACGTACAAAAGCGATATTTGGGTGGCCCGTCCTCAGCGGTTGTGCAGGTCCTAGTATAATTTCCAATTTTTTGAAGTTTTACTAGGCTAGCCACTGTGGTTCCCTCGAATCTCGAGGTCGCCCTAGTCAAACTCCGCCCCATGTCGTCACCACCACATGCAATCATCGCCCTTGTGCATCAGAAGGAGATTTGCCACCATGCGACTAGATTGATACCAGGACGGTGGTGGATCCTAGTATTGGTTTACTCTTAATGAGTTCCCTAATGTTTTCAGCTTGGGAGACCGTGCTGGCGGAATGAATTCACCCGCTGTACATCGCAGCCCGACACCCAGGAACACCTCCTAGCTACGATGAAGCGGTAAACTGTTGGGAGGTTTCAAATTTTTTACAAAGTCAAATTTTCTATTGCAGTTAGGCTAACTCCGCAGTATGTCAACTCGTAATTACTCTCCGGTCTAGTGCGGAACTGCTGCTTTTGCTTCTTAGTGGATTCGATGAAAACGTTTTCTTCACTTCATGTCCGCAATACTTCACTTATCTCTTAATAAGACGTACTTGTCGAGGAGAGTGCGAAAAACTTTGTTAACAGGCAGCAGTTCATATTTGAGCACGGTTCTGTCGTTTGTGTTCGAATGTGACAGGAGCTCCTGTATTCGCAAAGGATTTGGTGTCAATTTTAAGGAAACAATCGTAGTCGTCCACTTTGTTATCGCTGATGGTCCATTTGTTCGGGAAAATGTTTTACCATGTGTACCATCACAATGAGACAGTAAACCTTTGAGAGTGATAACCAACAGTAATAGTGAAAAAACAGCTATACCTACCTAGCACGAAGCTCACTCACCTGACTGCTTCTGCTCTTAATGCTGCCGCCTTACTGTTGAACGGATCAACTGACTTCAATTTCTTGCGGTTTTTCGTAGGAATTCGCTTATATCGACCCATTGCTGACCATAAACTTTCATAGAATTCGGATTTTTATCCAATGTTAATATTATAAATAGGTAATAAAGTAGCCATCGACAGCGTCGTAAAATGTTGTCATCCACTGGTGTACGAAAAATTTACTAAGCAAAAACATAGTGCTATATCACCATAACGTTCATCTACTCTGAAGCTGTTCCCGACATGGGAAGAAACATTCTGCATGAAGGAAAACCACAGTAACACTTCTTTCGATTTTCTCCTTCAAATGCCGAAACTCCGTAATCATAGCATATCTCCTCTCCAGCAGAAATAAACCTGAAGTTGGCATACTTACTAGAAAATGTAGAAGATATATTGCTGATGACTCTCTGAATTCTTCAGAAAGCCAAAAATGCTAAGTATTTGCTCCATTTTTACACAACCACATAACTTTTTAGCATTTGCATCTTAACATATAAAGGGCGGGTGTAGCGCAGTGGTCGCAGGCGTCCTGCAAAACACATGGGATCGATGCCCGCGCACCAGGCTCACCAAGACTTCCATCCCTCCTGGGTCGGCAAATTCATACTAAACTTGTCAAGGAGGATAGCAGCGCTGGCTCCGTATATCGGCAGGCCAGAGGTAATCATTGCATAGGCGAGACATGCATTTAATCACCTCCAACGATGTTTAATGAAGTCAAAGGCATAGCGCATCCCTCAAAAATTGATCAACGCCGAGAGCTTTATCCTTTGTCTTTTATCTGACATATAACGTCCGAAGGTCAACTATGGTCGTAATTTCATCTCAGTTACGAATTTTGACAACTTTTCCGCCATTAAAACGCAGCATATTATGAACAATGTTGATTTTTCGAGAATACAAGGTAATTCTTCGACATGAGGACCAGCGATGCTAATCACATGAGAGAGTTGCACAAGGGACTGCTACGACGATGATGTGAGTGATCCAATAAAGTATGTCTTCAAAACCTATGCAACTTCAATGACATGCAATCCGTTATATTATGTGAATCTCTTTACGGTCCATAGAACCGATCTTTTTAATGCATTTATTTTCGCTGTCATTTAGGAAACGACTATAAAAGAAGCCATTGCACACGGATTATAGAAAGATTTGTTGCCGGAACTGAGAACTGGTGATGAGATAAGGAGATTCATTGATTTCTGCTCTAAGATGGGAATTAATGGATGGCAAAGACCGCGTTTTTTCACTATAACTAACTTCTAAATAGAAACCGTACTGGGTCCCATTCATGAATCGCATCCATTTAGCCGATCATGAATTATTCCTCATAATGCACCTCGGGCGCTATCTGTTAAATATTCGCGTAGTAAAGGTGATGAGAACACCGTCCACCGATTTCTACTCAAATATCCACCTAATCCGGCTTACACATAACGTTTAGCATTGGAACAGCCGAAGTGTTCTCCGAAATCACACTGACGGACGCATATTCTTCGAACAACGACCTACTTTGAAGAAGTCTCCTCAACGACCCATCACCTTTTCGTAGCTAAAATGCGTCATTAGGATTCGAAATTCAATATTCAAGCATAGACACTGCCACATCCTTTTTAGCAGCAACAGTATCTAGGGTACAGTCTCTCTTAAACAGCCCTAGCTTTTCGCGGTAAAATGAATTAATCCAAAAAAGTTTCTTTTAAATAGTAAGTGTACAAAATAGTTTCTCATAGCCAACGTCTGATGCGACATCTACTTTGTACAAGTTGCCCACTGAATACAAAGAGTGTGGCAGAATGAGTCACTAGAAATACTATGCATTGGGTTCAATGAACTTCGTCCACTCTACTTTTTTTCCTCCAAGTAAGCATTCTGCACAAAGGGTCTCAGGCGTTGTGCGTCAATCATTGATGCTACATTTCATACTTAACTGCATAGTCTGATCTATCTAAACACGCCTGATCTGTGGCTTGTTAGCGCATGATCTGGGTTGTTATACGGTCGCTGGCAATCACGTTTCCGACCAATTCACAAAGAAACACACCTATTTGCAAACAATCCTATGCATGGGACGGTGTATCCCATGCGAACTATAGTTATCGAAAGATTCGGTTCGCATCCATGATTGATAAAACGTGCCAAGTTCCCTCGATAACGTGGATCAACAAAAGTTGTTGTGATTCCTCCTAAAATGAACCATATATGAATGGTTTGCAAACAAAACAGCAGAAAAAACAACTGGCTGACAAAAAGCATGGCAAGGGTCATTTTGGTTGTGTTTCACATAATACCCTTTCATGGAAAAAAGTGATAGGCAGTAAATAAAAACTTAAATATTGTGATTTCGACTGAAGCTGCAGCTTAACTGGGTTCGATGCCGATCAGTGCTCTTCAGATTATTCTCGTTGATGGGTAATTGCTGCTGGCACCGTTAGGGTAAAAAATTGGCTGAGAGAAAGACAAAGCAAGGGCTTCATTAGTGCAGTGACTAACATGTGAGTTCCCGGAAAGGGCAATCGCAGGTTCGAATCTGGCCGAGCGTCCTAGTTTTGCTAATTTGTCGGCATCAACACGATTTGCAAGAACTTGTGTCAAAATGCCAAATAAAAACAAACCTAAAAAATAGCTGATACCAAAGTATTACTCACCACCACTGTATTCTCTCACAGTAAGAGTGTAATTGTGATTGTGATTAGAGGTAGCTCGCCTTTCTACTTCATCTTTATTCAAGATTTCACCAACATATTCACAGACAAATGTGCCTCTTGGGATATCCCTCACTGCTCGTACTCCAAAACCTTTTTCATCGGAACAGTAATACACCTAAAATGTAAAGTACCAGTTCTTATTTGAAGTTACCACCTAGACCGGTCTTGCTTTTTATAGCCGTAAAATCTCATATCAATCAGTAATCTTATCAATCTCTCAATCTGTAATGGCAAAATCCTTTCAATGGTTTATCTCTTCATCGTGGTTGGGAGGTGTTCCTGGTCGGGCTGTGATGTACAGCTGAGGGATCCATCTCTCTAGTAGGTTCTTCCAAGCTCAGAAAAGTTCAGAGTTTCCATCAAGAAGCCCAAAGAGTAAACCAATACCAGGATCCACCGGCGTCCTGATATCAAGCAAGTGACATGGTGCCCAATCTTCCTCTGATCCACAAAGACGACGACTGTCTGTGGTGGTGACGACTTGAGGCAGATTTTGGCTGGACGGTCCTTGGGACTCCAGAGAACCACAAAGGCTAATCCAGCAAAAGTTCAAAAGAGGGAATTATGCTGAGGCAACACAACCAGTGAGGACCGGCCATCCAAGATTCTTAGGATCTAAGTAACAGTAAAAGAATGAAGAGCATTTTGAAGGTGATTATCTCTTAAATTTCACTTGATTAGACACTCTGACTCCAATATAATCTATTAGCCAAGTTCACAAAGCACAAGAAAAAAGTCTAAAACGACGTTGTAACTATCAATGCTTAAATAACAGTATTACTAATAATACAACAAAAAGCTTACAATGCACTTTTGGAGAAGACTAAAAGTAAAAAGCAGCTTACAAGAATTTATTGCGTGCCACAGAAATTTATGAGTCCACCTCAGACCTACAAATACTGGGTGCAAATTTGTTATGCGTTTCAACAGAGAGCTGATGGAGAAACTAAGAGATTAAACTATTCATTAGATTATTTTCCACATAAAAACAATACTACCTCTAAAGGCACTTTAACACCAAGTTGAACTACCCGGTTTCGACATTCTTCCAAGCGTTCAGAACACAAACATTCGCTGTGACATTCGAGAATAGGGGCTCCACTTGACTTCTCAAGTAATAAGCCATCAGCTGAGTAATTATCCTAGAACAACAAAAACAATGCTAATAATAACGATAACGGTGCTGAGATATTTGTAAAGCTCCGGACCGCTGGTGCCGTCGGTGGAGACCGAACACGCTGCTGCCCTTTCAGGGAGCTAACGCGTTCACCAACATACCATGCTAGTCCATCGCTTCGTCGTTCTCCCAGCTGTGTTATAATCGCAGGACCAAAAATTTAAAGCCTCAAAACTCTATCACTGATCAACAAATAAAGTTCGGCTCAAGTCCAAGCTCTGTAAACTAACATACACACCGACGTAGTGCAGCATAGTATGGCTCCTTGATAGTGGAGCTTCATTTTTTGAGAAATGAATACAAAAAAATAGAGTTAAGGAAAGGATCAGCACGTTGGAGATTAAAACTGCACTCATTGGTAAATAGAAGGAATTCCTTGAAAAAACCAAATATTGGATGCTGCATGGGTGGCCTATTCACGTCATTTTACCCGCCAATTCTGTACTTGCTACAAGTATTGGTTCGTGTAGCGCAGTGGTCAGAGGCACCCTTCAATACACACGGGCTCGATTCCCACGCACCAGGCTCACCAAGCCATCCATCCCTCCGGGGTCGAGAAATTTGTACCAGATTTGTCTGGGAGGATAGCAGCACTGGCTGGATACATCTGTAGACCACCGAGAGTCATTTTAAAGGTCAGATATGCATTCAATCGTCTCCATCGATGCTTAACGAAGTCAAATGCATGACCTCAGAGGTTGATCACCGCCGAGAGCTTTATCCTTTTACAAGTATTTAACCAATACAGCACAAACTATACTACATTAAGACTGTATGAGATTAACATCAATGTCAGAAGAGATTACGGTTGGATAATCAGTGCTGGCTGCAAAAGGAAAAACATTGTCGTTCGTCTTTACTTCCTAGTGGTCCATCGAAAAAAATCCATTCTCTCGAAAGATAATAATACCAGCTAGCTTCAGCAGAAAACTGCCAAAAAACATGACCAAGATTAAAAGTCTTTGGCTGGAAAACAGGTGACAGAGAACTCACCTCCGCACCCAGTAAGCATTCACACCTTTCTTTAGCTGAGCATTCACCGATACATTTACAACCACAGAGCACTTCCCAGTTAGCTTCATCAGTACCCGGTCCAGGCACACTGGTCGTAATATACTCAAAATCCATTAAGTTCCTTTCAAACGTTCTCTTAAAAACGTGCTGCGAACTTGTCCTTGAACTAATCCTTTTCCAGATGCACTGAAAGTAATTTTTTTTTTTGAAAGAATACAATCCATATTTACAATGAAAGGAATTCTAAAACGGATAGCTTCGTGACGAATAGCTCGCCAGTGATAACATTCGAAATATTCCAATTACAATAGCACACATTGGGGTTGGAAGTCAAGAATACTAACACGAAAAAGATGAAGCTGTCGGCGTTGACCAATCCCTAAGGGATTCGTCACGCATTCGACTTCAGCAAGCATTATCAAAGGTGATTGGATGCATATGTGGCCTTCACAGTGACTCGCAGTGGCCTACCAATGTATGGAGTCAGTGCTGCTATTGTCCCAGACAATTCTGGCACCAATTTGCCCACCCCGGAGGGATGGAGGGCTTGGTGAGCCTGGGACGCAGGATCGATCCATGTGTATTGCAAAGCGCCTCGGACCACTATGCCACACGCCCCCTACCATAAACGTATCGGTACAAATATGCCCTAAATCATCAGTAAAACAGAACAGAAAACAGGAAAGATACAAGCATGTTTGTACATACATGTTTCCCATATCTCCAGCAACGTCATATACAAATTCATAAGAAGTCATTTATGCATATGTATTCCCCATCACTTCTCCAAAGGGTATAGAAGTCTATTAATGAGAGATGGCAAAAATGTAGAGCGGAAAAAGTAGCAGTATGAACATAGAAACATAGTTGAACATTTGAAACAGTTGAACAGAAATAGAAACATTTCAACTACAGCCATAGCTTAACTGGGTTCTATGCCGATTTGCGCTCCCCAGATCAACCCCGCTGACGGGTGATTGCTGTGGCAAAAAGATCGATAGAAATAGCTGAGAGACGTGCGAAACAAAGGACCCGCATGGTGTGGTGGTGAACGCGTTACTCCCCGGAAAGGACAATAGCGCGTTCGTTCCCCACCATAGACACCTGCGGTCCAGAGTTTTGCAAATATCTCAGCAACGTTGTGGTTGTATTTCGCTTACTTAGTAACCTGCCATGAAAATTATAGAAGGCAGAAAACAAAACGTTAAACATAGAAACATAGTATTATGCTCACTAATGAGGATGAACAATGAATTGGTCAGACAACGTCCACTATTGAGCATCTCGAGAAAATCATCAACAGCAAACAGACATTAAAGCCAACAGAAGTATGGATCTCATCAGTAACAGCTACGAAACCCTAAGTTTAAAAAATGGACTCAATGGTTACAAATACTTGTTCACCACAGAATACTAACTGAACTTCCAACTCTTCATACACCAATGAACAAGACCTTGATTCTTCCTACTTAACTAATCCTGTGATTCTTGTAACTAACATTCCCTAAACAGTTAACAAATCTCAATATGATGAATCAATATTATCAGATTCAACTGCCTTAACATAAGAGTAAGCGAAATTGTTGGCAAAGAAGATACAGAACCTAATTAGTTTGTAAGTTTAATGTAGAATTAAGTTCTTAGAGACCTTATCAGAAAATCCTGGCGCTCTCATTTGAGTTCAAACCAAACTAATAAGTTAAGAGACTACGAGCAACGGTAATACTTTGAATGTTATCAATAAATACCAAAGCATGGAAGACGATAAACTGACCGGATCACATACCACATTGCAAAAGGTACAGATCAGCTGAGATATGTGCAGCAAAACAGGCATGGAAAAAACGAAGACTTTCGGATTATATCCTTACCAGAAGGGAAGCCTACTTAGCGTCTGCTTTAGCAAACCGCACATAGGTGAACGGCACTATACCAACTTTTCCATCCAATTCTCCTTCGTACATTCCATTCATAAGTTTTTTCGTAATTCGAACTTGCTGTCCTTTCTAAAGAAAGTGAAGATCATTAGAGTTTAGATTGAGCGAATTCTGAAAACTAGACGACAATTACAATTACTTTGGCCTATATGGTAGGTAATGATGTACTGGTTAGCGAAAAAACAAGGTAATCTAGGAAATTAATTCTTTCGAAAACAGCCATTGCAAGTAGACACTGCTGGCCTCCCTATATTGAATTATGATGAAGCGGCAAAAATCTACATTCATATTTTTAAAACCATCGTAACTTAACCTCGGCAGGAAAATAATGAACATGTATTTAATTTGCTGAGCTTACACGTGGTTGGTAAACTTCTACTCGGCTAACGTTTCTACGTCTCCGTCTTCATCACAGCTCATGATCGGAGGCGATGGTTCACAGTTGTTCGTTTTCTCGATGTGGCATCTTCGTTGCCGTACTTTCGTTGTCGGATAGTCATATCACGACAACCGCCGGATAAGGTATAAAAGTGCACTGCCGGGTAAGCATGCCTCATTGAAGTGGTGTTCACTGAAGAAGATCCGTCTCGCTACGACTACGAAGACGCAACATCGAATTGACAAACAACTGTGAACAAATGGCTAAGATCATAGACTCTGATGAAGACGAAAACGTCTAAGCATTAGCAGAACAAATCTGTATGTCTATATCCAAATGCCAAAATATCTCATGAAGAGACTTCACCCGAATTAAAACTACAACTCACTTTCAATTTCAGCTGACTAGGGTCGTACGCATTCGGCTGTCTATCGAAGATAGCCTTTGCAACCGCGGGTAGTGGGGGCTGAAGAAGATGGGCGTCAATTTATTTCCCAATTATGAAGATATCACATGCCACTACAGAAAAGAAGTATTTTAACCAGGAAGAAAGTCGAATAAGTTAAAATTTTACTCACTAAAAACTAGAACTTGCTCTTTTCTACTACAAATGCTGATGAACGGACCATTAAATTTTCAAATTCAAAAAACTGCCATATTTCCAGTGTTTTGTAAAAGCTAATAACCGATCCAGTACGTCAAACACAGTAGTAAATAATGTGTCACACCTCATATCGCTCTTCAGTGGAATCACTGTTCGTGGAGAAGCCACTGAATCGCTCTTCGCCAACGGAACTGCCTAACGATGACTGGCTGTGCCCTTTTAGTTGACGATCGCAGTTCTCGTCTATCTAAACACTAAACACTGGATTGATAACCCTTAACGCCTTTGGAGATAAACCAGTGCGGACATGACAATGTCTTTGTACGCTTATATTTCTTCACATTCTCCCTCTAGTAATGAAACAAGCAGCAAGCCATTTGTATAAACAAATAAGGCAATATGGTAACTCACAGGTCTGACATACACTGCAGGCACAAGTCCTGTGGCATTCAGTGCATTTCGTGCCTGCCACCATCCCGGTTCTGGTTTTGCAATGATCTCAAGCGTCTCGCCCATCTCGAAGGACAAATCCGTCTCACGCTCACCCTCAAAGCGGTATATCCCCACTACCTGAAAGAAGACAATACTGCGATACCTTCTGCGACAACATTTAATTTCGGAGGATACAATAGTAATAGTAACCAGACGTAATAAGTATAAGAGGCGAAATTCTTCAGAGCATTCCACAACTTTGCATTCGTCATTATTCAGAACGAAGCCTATAGGAAACAACTGCAGAACTCCTGCTATGAGACCACGCTCATAGAGGAAACGCAGACCATGAGACCAAAATGGATAAAGAAGTTCAGGACGTGCCCCACCTGCTCGATTTGTCCTTTGCGATACGGAACTGTCAGCGATGTCTTATCAAGTATATGTATTTTGAAGTGATTCAGCAACGTCGGGATATCCACAAATTCATGGTCGGCGATCTAAGGCAGAAAGTATCTAGCATAAAAGATTATTACTGTAGAAAAAGTTAGACTTCTCTCAAAGGTGTACCGCCTCATGGTGGCTGGGAGATGTTCCTGGGTGTCGGGCTGCGATGCGAGCGAGGAGGTTCATTCCCACAGCAAGACCTCCCAAGCTAAGAAGGAAACCGGTGTCCCCATAGGGAAGCCCAATTAAGAGCAAACCAATACCTGGATCCACCGGCGCCCTAGTATTAAACAGCATAGTGGCAAATTTCTCTCTGATCCTCAAGGGCGGCGACTACCTATGGTGGCGAAGACCTAGGTCAGACCGTGGCTAGGTTAACCTCGGAATTCCAGGGAACCACAATGGATAAATCAGTAAAACTCCGAGAAAATGGGAATTATGCGGGAGCCCGCACAACCAGTGAAGACAGGGCATCCAAGTGTCGAAGTAAGTAACTAAACGAACAACGCAAATAATAACCCACTTTGACTTGCCTTGTACCATTTTCACCAGATTTCGATTCTATAAGGTAATGACGCACTTTGTTCTCTTCATCCGACTCTCTGAAATCCCATACAATAGATATATGGTGCTGCATACATTATATTCAAATAAAAAGTGACTACATTGTGATTCATAGTACAACCTCAGCTTAATTCGGTTCAATACAGATTTGTACTCCCCAGACCAATCCCATTAACGGGTGATTGCTGATAGCAACCATAGCTTAAAACATGGCTGAGAGAAAGGCGAAATGAAAGACCCGCATGGTGTGGTGGTGATCACGTTAGCCCTTGGGTGGAGTAATAGCGGCTCCGATCCTCATCGCAGACATCTGCGGTTTGGAGTTTTGCAAATACTTCAGATCACTGTGGTTACACCACATTTATTACTAGTAAACGATCACCTGACGCTTAATGAATAATCACCAGGTCTTGAACTATCGCGTATCAAGAAGGTTCCGATTGAAACATCGGGTTCAGACAGAATACGAGCAGCTTCGTCGCGACCCATTTTTCCAAAATAGAGAGATGCCCAATCGTACGGGTCAAACGACGTCGACATCCCCTAAAAGAAGCCAATTACTTACTGTTACAAATCGGAAACACATCGACCAAGTTAGTAGAATCTACAAGACAAACTCAGCACCAGCCAAACGAGGATTGAATAGGAAAATAAACTTAACCCTATCCTGCTGCTAACTTAGAACATCTATTAGAGTTAGCGCCTAGTTGGCTTGCTGATAAAAATATAACAATAGCAGAAGTACCAGTTCTAAAGAATGAAACTATTATGGAAGGAAGCAATGACGAAAAAAAGAAAGAAGAAAAAAAAGAAAAAGGAGGAAAGAAATGACGGAAAACTAGTAAGATACGAGCCATACTATCAGGAAATCCTACTGGACCACTAACTGGTTAGAGTTGCTGAATTAAATTGATGTATACATAAATCCAACAAAAGAAATCTTCAGTATACTTTGGCCAAACTCATAGGAAGACAGATTAGTCCTCTGGAAAAAAAACTCAAAGGAATGATGGGAACGAAAAAACAGATATCACCTATAGAACCAATATATTCACATGAAAGTGGAAAAAACACACCTTAAAATGGAAATGAAAGGATCCAGAGGAAAGAAAACACCTCAGGATTCACTTTTTCTTGAAGAAACTGCGTGAACAAAACTTGTTCTGTTCGGAAACAGAACCATTACTATTAACTTCTACTACTACTATTATTGTTATTATTACTATTATTACTTATAGATAACCGACAACTGGTAGATAACCCAATTACTGGCAATTTATTTCAATCAACAGAGGGTTTGTGGTGAACTATCACTTTCGATCAATATGAGGAATTGGGCGTTTCCACTAATCCACTTCAAAAGATGTTTAAAAACCGATCCACACATAAAAAGTCGTACCAGAAGAAAGAACTGAGTGAACCACATACACTATAATCAGTGTGCAATGATGACCCTAACCTCGAACACATGAGCCAACTATAAAATCTATCGTCCACTATCGGAAAGCTGCGAAAAGCAGTTCTAAGTAGTACCAGAGCCACACCAGACTTCAATTTACTAACTCTTAACGAGATGGAGCAACCTAAAAGTACTACCTATATAGTCTGTACCTGCCATCTTAAGCCTTACCTCTTATACTTCAATCATCAAGGCTATCACCGTAACTCAAGCGGTCATCGGAACTGTTCAGAGGCTTAGGAATCCGCTGGATCATCCGAGAGCACAAAGGCAACCAGGTTTTCAGTATGGAATGAGGCCCTTCTTTCTGTTTTGGCGAGAAGATCGGCACAGAGAGTTCGCCGGTCTCTGCGTTGGCAGTGTGTCATCTGTATGACGTCACCACATTCGTAAACATGTGCATTCTATACAATCAAGTATGGCGCTTGGAGTGGACGATATGGTTGTATGCAATGCATTTCTTTTTCACTGACTCGTTCCATCGGATAGGACTTTTTCCTACTATATTTATCGGTATGATTGAAAGCAGAACAATCTATGCAGAGTTGTACGAAAGAAGCCACATTTTGCACCCAATAATTTCACATTTCGGGCTATCAAACCGAAATTAGGCGTCGTCTGGACGTTAAGTCCGCAAAATGCCGCGCCCGGAGAATACGATTTGTTGACTGGACGATTCAAATAGAAACTCGTTCGTCCCGTCCATTGGTGAGTGTTCGAGGTCTTACCAAAGCCGGCCCATGGAATATGTGGTGTTAACTCACATCGATTTACTGCCTATTATCTTTCTCCACGGCAGGGCATTCTATGAGATACAACCACAACAATGCTGAGATACAACCACAACGTTGCTGAGATATTTGCAAAACTCTGGACCGCAGGTGTCTATGGTGGGGAACGAACGCGCTATTGTCCTTTCCGGGGAGTAACGCGTTCACCACCACACCATGCGGGTCCTTTGTTTCGCCTGTCTCTCAGCTATTTCTATCGATCTTTGCCACA